AGGGCTGGGGGCTAAGGGTGTAGAATCCTGTGAAGGTGACAGAACTCAGAGCTGCGAGGGTTCGCTGTGGACACTCTCTGGCCTGGAAGGTGCTCCCGGAAGCTGCTGCTTCTAAGCGATCTGCTGTCACCCCACCCCTATTCCATGGTGCCCATTGTGGTCTGCCCCGCCTCCTCCTTCCTCCCTAGACATCATAACTTGGACAGCCCCAGGCTATGTAACTTCTTTGTTTTAAGTACATATATTCATTATGTGAGGAATACAAGCAACTTATAGAAAATGTAAAAAATACAGAAGGATGAAAGGAAGAGGAGGAAATCACCTCTAGTCCCGTTGTTTGGAGAGGTGGGCAGAGGTACCAGGAGCGCATTCTGTGAACGTCACTTCTTCCTCTTCAAAGAGAGCCCAGGAGGCTCCCACACGGCCAGCCACCTGGGTGTCATGGGCACTACCTCAGAGATTCGGGTGAGGAGGCAGACGGCTGAGGTGCAGCACTGCCCTCTCTGACTTTATCGAGTTTATTTTCTTGTGACCCCTCCTCCCTGAGTACGTGTGATCATCCGCCTGTGGTGCTTTGAAAAGCATAGTTAACACAGCGTTATTCACAGGTTCTAGAAGAAATACATTTTGAAGAAGGGCTGGAACAGGCAACACTTGCCAATGAGTGGTTTCTAATTAATCATTCCCCATTAAAAAAAAAATAGTGACTCAGTTTTAAGGATTCAGAAAACCATTACTCAAGTTTCTTGGCAAAGGAAGTAACCATTATGTTGCTCCTGCAGCTCTGCTTTTGTGGAAGAGAAAATAAGTCTTTTTATTTGCTCTTTCTCTGAGCTGCCCAGATCCTTTGGCTATTGTTAGCGAGTGCAGGAACAGAACAGCCCCTGCCATTGTTCAGGATGGTCACTAAACATGGCAAGAGCTTCCATCTGAACTGGGGGTAAAGGAAGTGACCAGAGAAACATATTTCCTGGAACTGGCAAAGACAGAAGCAGAAAAGAGAGCTCCCTCTGGCTCCAGGCTTGTATTTTCTTTCCTCAGCATCTCCTGGTTGTGACAAGCTGGCTCCTCTTGGTCTCTCCTGTAGGGCCTGCCCACTGCACAACATGAGGGGCACCACTTAGACCACTGTGTCATCTGTGACTGGTGCTTCTGGGAGTTTTCACTGTGGAGGCCCTGTCCCTCTGGGCACCTCTTAGTTGCCCTATGAACAAACATTAAGTACCCACTGAGTTCTCTGATGAGTGCTCCAAATAGTCATGGTTGGGGATGGGGACCTGCATATAGTTGAGGACAGTGCCATGTGAAAAGTGCCAATGAAAGGATAAGCCAGCCAGCCATGGTCCTTGACCCCTACTTGGACTTTCATGCAAGCTGCCTTGTGCCTGTTGTGTATTGATGCCTTGTGAATTCTCATTTGCTCTCATGAGCTGATGGAGGGATGTTGTAAGCACTGCACAGGGGGGCCACCCTCCAGTAGACAGTCCTGTTTTGGCAGTGTCTCCATCTTTATTCCTACAGCAGTGGTAATTTGTGCATGAACTTGACATCTATGTTAAGTTTTATCCTTATAGCTACTTTATCAAAATAGAAAATAGAAAGGTGAAAATAGCAATATAGTGATTAGAAGTGTCAGTGGGTCTTCTAAACTTAACCTCGTTCAGGCACAGATGGAGATCAGTATGTGGACTGGACATGGCAAGCCATAGCCTCCATCAGGTGCTCATCGGACTTAAACACATCGGACTGTGCATTCGGTTATGAAGGGAGAGGACATGGGAGACATCCACACACACTAGGAATTCTTGGGTGAATGTGTGAAGAGCCACATGCGAGAAAGTTGATAGCCACACTCTGATACAGCTAAACACTGGAAATGACCCACACTTCCCTCAGCAGAAGAATGATATATTTGCACAATGGAATATTACATAGCAGTGAAAATGAATGAACTATAGCTACGTGTAAATGAATTATAGAAACATAGGAATGACAAAAACACACCAGAAAAGACTATATACAAACCGTTTGTAGAAAGCTCAAAAATGAAGCAAAGTTAAGAAAAATTTAGGGATCCATGAGTAGTGAACTTATTTTTAAAAGTAAGAGAATGATAGGGGCCGGCTCAGTGGCGTAGCAGTTAAATTCACGTGCTTTGCTTTAGCGGATCCCAGGCTCAGACCTACACACTGCTGATCAGGCCAGGCTGTGGCAGGTGTCCCACATATAAAATAGAGGAAGATGGGCACAGATGTTAGCTCAGGGCCAGTCATCCTTAGCAAAAAGAGGAGCATTGGTGGCGGATGTTAGCTCAGGGCTAATCTTCCTCAAAAAAAAAAGAAAAAAAGTAAGAGAGTGATCCCAAAAGGTAATGTATGGGCGAGGAGGCTGGCAGGTACAGAAGTGCAGAGGGAGCTTCAGAGACAATGATTGTGTTAGTGGTTAGGTCAGTAGGATCTTGGGGGTGTTTCATCCTTCATAACTTTCCTGTACATTGCAGATATTAATTTGCATGTGTTCAATATTATATAATTTAAAAACGTATTTGAATTGCTGGAAATATATTATCGAAGATTACATATGAAAGGTGTGCTGTAACTCAGGCTTTTTATAACTCTTTTAAGCCTTCTGGGCACAGAAGTTCCCTGGGTGGATTTCGTCTTCCAAGGACCGGCATTCTGCTGATATTCGGGAGAGCAGTGTGTCCTCTGTCCCAGTTCCACAGCAGTGAATGCGTCTAACATCTCCTGTCCTTGAGGGCAGGGTCTCTCGGCTGTCTAATTGTCTCCTCACTGGTGCCTGGCTCTGGGGCCTCCTCAAATGTTTGTTGAGCATAGGACAGAGGGAAGGGCTTCCTGGCCCACGGAGGGGAAAGTGAGGCAGAGGGCCCAAGGAGCCTGCCCGTGCTCACCTGACTGCACGGTCAGACTCAACCATCTTTCTCACCCAAAGTCCAGGGCTCTGGTAGTGAAGAGAGAAGAACCTTAGAGGACTGGCTGCTACCCTGCCCTTGTATCTGTCCCTTGTCTGCCAGCCTCAGGGCAGAGGTGCCAGGGTGGAGGACTCTGGTTCCAACTGGTAAAGTGAGAAGGAAGCTTGAAGGCGGTCTGCATAGCCAAGTAGGGCCCAAGGCCAGGCAGAAGGTGTCTCTGTCCCTTTGATGCCCAGGTCCCAGGTCCCTGGACTATGGCCGGTCTGGCCAACCAGCTCCCCCTGCCCCGGTTTTGGGAGTGTTATCTTCCTGGGAGTCACTGATCCTCAGTCCCTCCTCTCTGACAGCCACCTTGGATGGGGTGGGAGGAAGCACAGTCTGTCAGGTGTGAGATAAAAACTCCTCTTCCCCGGGAGCTGACCCGGTGGCGCAGCACTTAAGTGCGCACGTTCTGCTTTGGCAGCCCGGGATTCGTGGGATCGGATCCTGGGTGTGGACATGGCACAGCTGGGTGGGCCGTGCTGTGGTGGGCGTCCCACATGTGAAGTGGAGGAGGATGGGCACGGATGTTGGCTCAGGGCCGGCCTTCCTCAGCAAAAAAAAAAAAGAGGAGGATTGGCAGCAGATGTTAGCTCAGGGCTAATCTTCCTCAAATAAAAGAAAAAAAAAATACAACTCCTCTTCCCCAAATGAGAAGGCTTGGCAGGTCAGAGACACTGGTCCTCCAGGCCTGGGGGCATGGGCGGGACATGAGGTCAGGTGCCCAGGCTGCTGCTGCTTCTTCTGGAGATCTTTGGCCAGATTTATTGCTGCTGCTTGCTGAGAAATGGTTTGAAAGACCAAGTGTGCTTCCATGATGACTGGCTGTGTTCCCTGGCTTCAGTTCCCTCAGCTGGTGGGACTAATTTAATTAATTTGTTAGACTACTTAGATTCTATAAATCTATTTAACCTATACTAAAAAAAAGTTTACTTGTTTCTTTGATCTTTAATATCCTTTTCCTTGAGTAGCACACACACGATCTTTTTCAGGGGGTGGGGAGCACGTTTGTTCTTTTTTACCTTCCAGTTTGGTCCCTAGAATAAAGTTAGCATCGCCCCCGGTGGTTTAGTAGATAAGTGTAGGGTACTGGAGCGGGGCACTGAGCAGAGCAGGAAGGCCTGGTGTGCACCTCAGTTGTGTAGCTCACTTATTGGTGATCTTGAGCAAGTCTCCTGGTTCCTCTGTGCCTCAGTTACTATCTGTAAAATGGGCCATCTACCATGAAGACCCTGGGATTCTGAGACTTCCGTGTCCTCATGCATCTTGTGAGTCCCATTGGGTCTCTGGCTTTCATTCCTACACGTGTTCCTTCATTCATGCATTCGTCAAATGCTCAGGGGGCCCCAGGCAGCATTCTCAGCACTGAAATATAACAGAGAACAAAACAAGGGGCCTATTCCTGTGGCGCTTGGAGTCTTGAAGAGAAGACAGATGCAGAGTTCATAGTTATACGGCAGTGCAGCGTGTGAAGGTGACATGGTGGGGAAGGTAGCACCGAATGGGGGCCTAATCCAACTGGCGGGGTAGGGAAGGCCTCTGGGGAAGGGATGTTAGGCTGAAACAGGAGGAGGTAGTGTGGGCGTGGGGTGGGAGGAATGAGTGTGAGCAGAGCACAGGGAGCCTGAGCAGGAGGGGCTCTGTACCTTCTAAGCCAGGCCTGGGGGAGATGAGGCCTCAAAGGTCAGCAGGGGGCAGGTGGTGGAAGGTCCTGTGGGCCAGGGCAAAGCCGGGACTTCGTGCTTTGGGCAGACGCAGGCCCTTGAAGGGTTTCCTAATCAAAGGAGTCGGGTGGCCAGATGGCAGCTTCAGAAGGCTCACTCGGCAGCTGGCTGGAGTGGGCCAAGGCTGAGGTGAGGAGGCCACTGGGAGGCCATTGCCAGAATCCAGGGAGAGGTGACAGGGGCCTGGACCAGTGGATGGACTTGAGAGAAGTTTAGTACTGAAGCCTCTTGTGGCTTCCCAAATCAGAGACAAAGTCCCGTCCCAAAGTTGCTGGGGGCTAACCAAGTGTCTTCTCCCTCCTCAGAGGTGGCGAGCGATGTGCTGACCCGCCTGCCTGGGGCCAGCGTTGTCCTGACCTGCCCGGGCGGGGAACCAGGAGACAATGTCACCTTTCACTGGATGCTCAGGAGTCGGGTCATCGGGGGCCCAGGCTCACACCGCGACAGATGGACTGTCGTGGGAAGGCGGCTGGTTCTGAGTTCCGTGCAGCTCAGCGACTCTGGAAACTATTCGTGCTACCAGGACGGCCGCCTAGTTGGAACTGTGTGTTTGCTGGTGGATGGTGAGTTACGTCCTCAGAGCTCTGGAGACAGCTCCCAGGGCGGCTCTGGCATTCCAGAGAGTTCCCTGCTTGACCCTTCAAACTCCTGTTATTTCCTTGGCCCAAGAATTTTGGGAAAAGGCCCACTGACGTTTGCCAGTGAGACTGGCAGAGGTTCCTGCTGGGTGGGGGCATCTGGCTGATGGTGACACCGTCCAGCTGGCCTCATTGGGCAGTTAAGTCTTGAGGTGCACTGGTTAACAGCCTGGGGCCTGAAGCAGGGTGGCCTGGGTTGGAATCCTCTTCCTTTACAGCTTAATTTCTCTGCCCCTCAGTTTCCTCGTTGGTAAAATAAATTATATTACCTTGCCTCAGAGTTGTTGCGAAGATTAATTGAGCGTGTGTGTGTGTGTGTGTGTGTGTACTCACATACACATGTACATGGTGCTGAAAACCCCGCATGGCACAGGCTAAGCTCCCCAGTTAACTGTTCTTATTTTCGGAATTAGCAGGTTCTTAGCTCTCTCGCATCTGAGAGTTGGATGCCCCATGTGCCAGGCCCTCTGCTAAGGCACTTTCTTCCTCCATATCTCGCGTCATCCTCCCATTGACCCTGTGAGGGAAAGCAGTATTATTGATATTATTTTATCATCATTTAATTTATAGTAGGAAAGTGGAGAGAGGTGGGGACTTGCCCAAGGCCACAGAACCAGACCTGTATGACTACAGAGCCCCTATTGTTTTGCTTGTGCTCTCTCCCCTTTAGGCAAGTTAGCCCCGGGGCACCTCCCTTCTCTTGCCCCACTTCCCCGCCTGACAGGAGGATGTTGGTGTCCTTTAATTTCCCAGCCACAATAAGATCTGAGTGTGGCTGTTTGGCCCCATGTCCTGGGTCATGGCTGGCTCCAGGCCGGGGTGCGGAGGGGCGGTGGGGAGAGAGGCTGGGAGGGCAGGTGGAGCCAAGCGCTCCCCCCAGAAGGGAGGTAAGATGTGCTGGCCTCCTCACGCCTGCTGTGCTCTCCTCTCAGTTCCTCCCGAGCAGCCCCAGCTCTCCTGCTCACGGAAGAGCCCCCTCAGCAATGTTGGCTGTGAGTGGAGTCCTCAGAGGCCCCCCTCCCCGACGACCAAGGCCGTGTTACTGGTGAAGAAGTTGTAAGTATCTTGGGCTAGGCTGCGTGTTGATGTCGACTCCGTCCCTACAGAGGCCCTGGGAGTGGTGGGGGCTCTCAAAGGAGCCAAGTGGGAGTGGCCGGCCACTGAGTCCAAAACTTTATCGCTGGGAAGTAATTACTTTGGGATGAGGAAGAGGGAATGAGCGAGGGGACTGAGCCTTCAGATCCAGTGCTCACCCTGTGCTGGGAACTTCGTCCTGTTAACTCTCACGATAGCTCTGGGAAGTGGGGGTTATTTTTCTCCTTTAACAGATGGAGAAACTGAGGTTCAGAGAGGTTGACTGACTGATTTATTTAAGGTCCTCTAGCTAGTAAGTGGCTCTTCGAGGAATCAAACTCCAGCCTGTCTGATCTCATTCAAAATACAAAGGTTTTGGGCGTTGCTCTGAAGAAAATGCACATACGCCCTGGAGGGGAAGGGCAGCCAGCTCGTTATCAGTGTCCCGACTGTGTGAGCACATCAGGGTCTTTCCATGACAAAGGCAGGTGAGAGGAAGTGCAGATAGGATGGGGAGAGGGAGCCGGGGGCTGTGGGGCAGGAAGTCCCACCTGCCAGGAGGCTCTGGAGACGCACAAAGTAGCGGGAACTGGGGTGAGTTCAGGCAGAAGGAGGTAGAGGATGCTGAAAACAAATGCCTGTCTGCAGTTTTGTCTGTCTCCAGCCCAGAGCCAAGGTCCCCTTAGTCCAGATGTTTGTAATTAAGTTTGAGCTGTCAATCATCAGAGTATCAAAAACTCCGAGCAGTGACTTCAAGAGGGTGGTTAGGTTTCCACCTGGTCTGTCTCCACAGAGTCTGCTGGCGGTAATATTTATGCTTTGGTCTCTGCGCAGAAATGTGTAGATTGCCCATCTGTAGATGACGCCACTGCCACTGTTAACCCACATTTCAAGTAGGGAAGATCAGAAATGTCCACCACCCCAAGCTGGGTTTGCATATAAATTGTTTGGGAGCTGGAAGGCATTCCTCCAGACAGGATGTTCTGCACGGTGGCCAGCAGCTGCCCAGACCAGCCCACGGAAAGCTTATTCAATTGACACTCCAACTAGAATACTTTGTCTGTTGACAGTGAGAGTGAGAGAACAAGGCATTTTAGCTTACACCCTCCTCCTGCCAGTAGCCAGCAGCACTTGCATCTTCCTCCTGGGCCGTGGAGCATCAGCACCTGCATCGAACTGAGGAAGGGGAGGTGGGGAGTAACTGTGAGAGTCTCAGGGACCCCAGAACCCACTTAGGCCCCACCTGGACCCTGCCACTGCGGGGGCTGAATAGGAGGTTTTGTGTGTTCTGCGCCTTTTCTCTTGGTATGTGTGCACAGTCACACCTGCACCCCACTGCGCTTGCTCACTCATTTTTTCCACAAGTGTTTGGTGAGTTCAGCATCTGCCGTGGGTTAGGTGCTGTACTAGGGCGGAGGGAGAGACACGGGGCAAACGGGATTGGGCCCCTGCCCTCAGACCCCACAGGGGGACACCCCTGTAATCTGGCTGATGACCCCACGTCTCAGTGTTAGGGGGGATGGAAGCCTGGATTGGTGGGAGGCGGGCTCTAACTGAGACTGGGAGGGTTGGGGCGGGCTTCCCAGAAGGAAGGACTTTGTCCTGGGCCCAGGGTTCAAACCCGAATCAGAGGTTGGTGATTCGTCCCGGCAGTGGCAGGGCAGAGGCTGCCGTGGGCTCACACGCTCACACATGTCATAAGTGGATGAAGTCTCAGGCTTCCAGGCCAGGTGAGACGGTGTCTTACTCACCTTGAATTTCTTCAGTCACCCAGAAGTCTTTTCTGGGCTCACCTGCCGGAAATGCTCCCACCTCCTTGCAAACCCCGTAGCACTCTGTGCTTCTGGAATGACATTTCTCCTGGCTGTCCTAGTCATCGAAGGGCAAGTCTTTTTTGTTAGTGCCCTGAGGCCAGGATGTGGCCTCTTTTGACTCATTTCTGCATCCCCCAGAGTGCCAAGAGCACAAGACACGGCAGGAAGCCAGAATGCCCCGCAAATCTGATGCCCCAGAGATTGAGCTCACCCTTTGTTTGGGCATCTTTGAACCCCCCACTGTGCCAGGCATTAAGCTAGATGTTCTACACTCATTTTTTCAATTAATCCTCACAAACCCTTATGAGGTGGGTACGGTTAATATTCTCATTTTCGCGTGAGAAAACAGAGGCTCGGAGAGGTTGGATAATTTACTCAAAGTCACGAGAGCTACTAAGTGCTATTAAGTGTGGAGTGGGGATTCAGACCCCAGGGTCTGAGTGCGGAGCCCAAGCTTCTAACCCCTGCTCCCCGCCTTCTCTCCTGTCCTGAATCAGTGCAGAAACTGAGAGCGAGCCCTGCCCTTGTTTTGTGTCCGACAGTCAGAACAGTCCAGTGGAAAACTTCCAGGAGCCGTGCCTGTATTCTCAGGAGTCCCAGAAGTTCTCCTGCCAGTTGGCCGTCCCAGAGGGAGACAACTCTTTCTACATAGTGTCCCTGTGCGTCGCCAACAGCGCTGGGAGCGAGTCCAGCAGATCCCAAACATTTGAGGGTTACGGAATCTGTAAGTCAGCCCTCCCGGGCCTCCCTCTCCACCCTCCAGCTGTCTCCTTCTCTTTGACTCAATGCTCCTCATATGCTTCTCGGAGGGCCAGGGAGGGGCTGGCTGAGGGTCTCGGTGAGCCGCTGTCTTTTGGGCTTTTCTCCTCAGAGGTCCGACTGGCAGATGAGGGCCCTGTCAAGATGTGCGTGAGGAAGCGGTCTGGGTGCTGGAGGCAGTATGGGTCCTGCCACCTGGGGGCTGCAGAGTCTTTATGGGTCTTTCCTCTGAACCATCCTTGCTGCCACATAGGAGCCACACTCCTTTTTCCCACAGTGCAACCCGATCCACCTGTCAACATCACGGTCACCGCTGTGGACGGAAACCCCCGCTGGCTCAGTGTCACCTGGCAAGACCCCCCCTCCTGGAACTCATATTTCTACAGGCTACATTTTGAGCTCCGATACCGGGCTGAACGGTCAAAGACATTCACAATGTGGATGGTAAATTCTTATTTTACTTCTGGACAGAAAAGTGCCCGTAGATACTCGAGTAGTAGAAAGGGTACCAGAAAGGAAGCATTGGGTTCAGCAACTCCCTACCTGCGTGGCCTTGGATAAGACTCTGAACCTTTTTGAGCCTCAGGTGCCTCATTTATAAAATCGGAGTAGTAATACCAGGCCAATCTCCCTTCACAGGCCTGTTTGTGAGGCTGAGAGTGTGCCCTGGGAAGAGAGTTGGGATATAAGCATGTCAGGGGGGTGGCTTGCAGGATCTATAGTGCATGGGGGTGGGGGCAGGACTTACAGCCTCTCCCTGTCCTGTGTTGGCCCAGAGGCAACCCCATCTCACTGAGCCTCCAGGGCGGTGTGAGCCTTTGGAGCATCTGTGCCCAGCTGAGTCACCCACTGGACCTGAGATGGGGAGCAGCTGAAGGGCAGAGGTGGCCAAGGGCACCTATGTCCCTGTGGAGCCGCCTCACCAGCGCCACCCAGGCCCCACCCCAGAGTCACTGTGTCTCCCACCCTCAGGTCAAGGAGCTCCAGCATCACTGCATCATCCGCGACGCCTGGAGAGGCATGAGGCATGTGGTGCAGCTTCGGGCCCAGGAGGAGTTTGGGCATGGCCTGTGGAGCGAGTGGAGCCAGGAAGTCATGGGCACCCCTTGGACAGGTACTGTGGTGGGTGCAGAAGGGATGTTTCAGCTTTGTTACTATATCAGTTATCTATTGCTCTGTAACAAGTCACCCCTAAACTTGTGGGAAAACAGCAACCATTTATCTGCTCATGATTTTTTTTTTTTTAAAGATTTTTTTTATTCTTTTTCCTTTTTCTCCCCAAAGCCCCCTAGTACATAGTTGTATATTCTTCGTTGTGGGTGCTTCTAGTTGTGGCATGTGGGACGCTGCCTCAGCGTGGTTTGATGAGCAGTGCCATGCCCGCGCCCAGGATTCGAACCATCAAAACACTGGGCCGCCTGCAGCGGAGCGCGCAAACTTAACCACTCGGCCACGGGGCCAGCCCCTCGTGATTTTGAAAATAAGTCAGCTAGGCACTTCTTGTGCTGGTCTTGCCTGAATCACTAATGCGGCTGCAGCAGGCCTGCACGGGCCAAGATGGCCTCACCCACGTGTCTGATGGTTGGTGCTGGCTGGTGGCTGGTCGGTTCTCCCTGTGGCCTGTAACCTGCTAGTAAGGCCAGCTCAGACTCAAGGCGGGGGAAACCTCTCCAAAACTTGATGGGAGGAGCTGCAAAGAATTTGCAGCTATATTTAACCTACCACAGTTATTAATGCTTTTTATTTCTAAAAAGATGTTAAAGGTAATAGTAATTGCCTTTGGGGAATTACTGAATTTAGTGTTTTTTTACAGAACATTAAAAATTCCAGAAAAATGTGAAGAATAATTATCACTAGTATTCTTACCACCTAGAGAAAACCAGTGAGAACATTTTACTATGCTTTCCTTTTCCTAGGTACCTTTATATGTTTGTGTGTGTATATACACACACACACGCACACACACAGTCATGCGCCGCATAACGTTTGGTCGGTGGTAGACCACATGTAGGAGGGTGGTCCCATAAGATTATAAAGGAGCTGAAAAATTCCTACCATCTAGTGACGTTGTAGCCATCATAACGTCGTAGCACAATGCATTACTCATGTGTTTTGGTGATACTGTAGGTAAACAAACTTACTGCACTGCCAGTTGTAGAAAAGTATAGCACATACAATATATACAGTACACAATACTTGATAATGGTAATAAGTGACTATGTTACTGGCTTATGTACTTACCATACTATACTTTTTATTGTTACTTTAGAGTGTACTCTTTCTACTTATGAAAAAGTTTACTGTAAAACAGTATGCCATGTCATGCCGGCAGGAGCCTCATATATCTTGTGTCTGCCGCATCTCTCTTTTTCTTTTTTTTTCCTTTTTCTCCCCAAAGCCCCCCAGCACATAGTTGTATATTGTTAGTTGTGGGTCCTTCTAGTTGTGGCATGTGGGACGCCGCCTCAGCATGGCTTGATGAGCAGTACTAGGTCTGTGCCCATGATTCGAACCACCGAAACACTGGGCCGCCGCAGCGGAACTTGCGAACTTAACCATTTGGCCTTGGGGCTGGCCCCTGCTGCATCTCTTGATTGCATCATTTTCTTTTGTGCTTGATTTGGTCTCGTGTTGTTTTGTTCATCATGGCCCCTAAGTGTACAAAATTCACTGCTGATGTTGCCAGTAAGAGGCCACTGTCAAGTGATTGACCTGGAAACAAAATTAAAAGTGATTAAGGTCTATGAAGGTGGAAAACCATGATGCTTATTGCTTGCCAGTCAGGCCTGTCCCCTTCCACCATAGCTACGATCTTGAAGAACAAAGTGATGGAAGCTGTTAAAGCATCTGCTTCATTGAAGGCAATGAGACCAACAAAAATTTGAGAAGAGCCTATATCAGACATGAGAAACTTCTAATGACCTGGATTGAAGACCAGACACAGAGGCGTATCCCTCTCAGCACCGTGATGATCATGGCCGAAGTGAAAGTTTGTTTGTGATGTTGAAGGAAAAGGCTGGACCCCACCATAATGTTGAATGCACTGCCAGCTCTGGGTAGTTTAAACAATTCAAGGATTGTTATTCATTATGTAGTGTGAAAGTGGGTGGCGAGTCTGTGACTGCTGATGTGAAGGCAGCTGGAGAATTTTTGGAAACTCTAGATACACTTATTCTAGGGGAAAATTACTTGCCAGAGTAATTCTCTTGAATTGCTATGCTAGCGAAATGGAGAGGTACTGTTTGGAGAATAACATACCTTTTAAGATTTTACTTACTGTTGATGATGCTCCTGAACATCCTCTCTTTACTGGTGATCTTCATCTCAATATGAAAATGGTGTTTCTTCCTCCAAACACCACCTCTTTGATCCAACCATTGGATCAAGGGGTTCTAGCAGCTTTTAAGGCCTGCTGCCTGAGGAGGACCTTTGCCTAGGCTGTTGCTGCAACTGAGGAAGACACTGATGCAATTCTGGAAGGGTTACAATATTTGCGGTTGCATCAGGAACCCTGCTTGGGTTTGTGGTGATGTCACCAAGGAGGGTATGAATGGCATCCGGAAGAAGACACTCAAGAGGGTCGTCCAGGACTTCAAAGGATTTGCCAAGGGTGAAGAGGTTGCAAAAATCAACAAGGCTGTGGTTGAGATGGCAAACAACTTAACCTGGGTGTGCATGAGGATGACATTGAGGAGCTCCTAGAGGTGGTTCCTGAGGAATTGACTAATGAGGAGTTGTTAGAACTGGGACAGGAACGCATAGCTGAAGAAGAGGCAAGAGAAAAGGAAACTGCAAGAGAAGAAAAAGAAGAACCTCCAAGAAAATTGAGAGTGAAGTGTTTGGCGGAAGCTTTTGCAGACCTCAATAAGCTCCTTAAAATGTTTGAAAATGTGGACCCCAGTACCAAAAGGTTTTCATCAATAGAGAGAAATGTTCGTGGTGCGTTATCTGCTTACAAGCAAATCTATGATGAAAAAAAGAAACAAACCAAGCAAACCACCGGGGACATATTTCTGAAAAGAGTGACCCCTCCTCAAGAAGAGCCTCAGGCATGTCCTTCAGGAGGTATTCCAGAAGAAGGCATCGTTATCATAGGAGACGACAGCTCCGTGCGTGTAACTGCCCCTGAAGACCTTCCAGTGGGACAAGATGTGGAGATGGAAGACAGTGATATTGATGGTCCTGACCTTGTGTAGGCCTAGGCTAATGTGTGGGTTGTGTCTTAGTTTTTAACAAAAAACTTTAAAAAATAAAGAATTTTAAAAACAGAAAAAAGCTTTAGAATTAAGGATATAAAGAAAGAAAATATTTTTGTGCAGCAGTACAATGTGTGTGTGTTTTAAGTGTTATTGCAAGAGTCAAAAAGTAAAAAAAATAAGTTAAAAAGTTTATAAAGTAAAAATGTTACAATAAGCTAAGGTTAATTTACTATTGAAGAAAGAAAATACTTTTTACTAAATTTAGTGTTGCCTAAGTGTACAGTGGCATAAAGTCTACGGTAATGTCCCAGGCCTTCACGTTTGCTCGCCACTCACTCACTGCCTCACCCAGAGCAACTTCTGGTCCTTCAAGCTCTGTTCGTGGTAAGTGCCTTATACAGGTGGAACATTTTTTATCTTGTATACAGTATTTGTACTGTACCTTTTCTATGTTTGGATATGTTTAGATACACAAATGCTTCCCACTGTGTTACAGTTGCTTATAGTATTCAGTACAGTAACATGCTGTGCAGGTTCGTAGCCTAGGAGCAAAGGGCTATACCACATACCGTGGGTGTGTAGTAAGCTATCCCGTCTTGGTTTGTGTAAGTGCACTCAGTGTTGTTCACACAGTGATGAAATCGCCTAAGGACATATTTCTCAGAACATATCCCTGTTGTTAAGGGATGCACACCTGTATATAAAATATTGCAAGAATTCCCAGGTTATTAAATATTTTTTGGAAATATATTGTTTAGTAACTGCATGGTTAATTTTAATTTTAATTTTTTTAACCCATGGGAATTTTTTCTTTAATTTAAAAAATTTTTTTCATATTAATACATGCCGATGGCAAAGAAACAAAGAAGGGCTTATAATAACAACCAGTGTTGCCTCCCCAACTCCTTCCCATTTCCAGTCCTGCTTTCTAGAGGAAGCTTCTTGACTTTCTGTTTCTAGTGCTTCTGTTGGTCCCTCCTTAACTCTGAACAACAATCTAATCTGGCTGGTTTTTTGTGTGTTTTTTCCCCCTGAGAAAACAACTTGAGATATTATCTTTGACTCCTTCACTTGAAAGATTAAGATTTAGCAGACCTAGATCCAGTGCAACAATCTCCCTGACTACACCCTAGAGAGTGGGCATCCAGCCTCTTCTTGCATGCTTCCAGAGATGGAGAGCTTACTACCCCTTGTAGCAGTCAATTCCATTGATCCCAGTGTTCTTATTATAGAATGGCTTCCAGCCTTGCTTCAGTGTCGGGTCTCTTTAGCCTAGAAGCATAGCTGAACCGAATTGGTTGTTCTTAAATACCAGGCAATTAATAAAAAGAATAAAACATGGGGCCGGCCTAGTGGCATAGCGGTTAAGTTTGCACTCTCTGCTTCAGTGGCCTGGGGTTTGCTGGTTTGGATCCCGGGTGCGGAGATGCACTGCTTATCAAGCCATGCTGGGGCAGCTGTCTCACATATAAAGTAGAGAAAGATGGGCGCAGATGTTAGCTCAGGGCTAATCTTCCTCAAAAAAAAAAAAAAGAATAAAACACCCCATTTATTGAGTATGAATGGATGAAAAGGAAAAGATAGAGATCACATCAATTGCCCAGACCCATCCCTACCCCTGCCACTTTCTCCCAGCCCTGGGCCAGGGAGAAGACTTTTTTGTATAGGCTATGCAGAATGCATAATACATAAATGGATGCTGTGATGTGACAGCTTTTCCTTCTCCCTGGCTTTGCAGTATGGGGTCCTTGTCTTTCCTGTTCTGGGAGAGCCGGAGGAGTGGACTTAGGGCTTAGTGTGTCTTCCTAATTGGATGCACGTAATGTCAAGTGCAGGCTCAGATCCCTATTGGTGCTTTCCCGTGGCCTGTCCATCAAGAGCAGGAGGCAGCTCTCCATTGGACCCTCTTCTCAAAAGCTTATTTCCTGCCAAGACTTTGACAAGGAGGGTGGCCTCACTTCTGTATCTTACTTAGGAAGACGATTTAAATGAATCAGAACGTCCTTCAGGCCAGATTGTGTTGACCTGTGTTTTTGATTTGTATACGCTTTGAGCCAAAACATGGTCATTATCGGAATGCTGAACATTAATGTGGTTTTGGGAGCCTTTGCAAAGGGAGGGAATTATTTACAACATTGTGCAGAGGAAATGTTCCAGACACAGGCCGACACCTGTTTACCTTTTATCCCAACCACTTCATTTAGATAGTCATGAACCGATTTAAGAAATCCTGTTTTTGTTAGAAAGCTCTTTCTTTTTAAAAATTTTTAATTGTGGTAAAATATGCATAACATAAAATTTACCATTTTAACCATTTTTAAGTATACAGTTGAGTGGCATTAAGTACATTCACATTGTTGTGCAACCGTCACCACCGTACATCTCCAGAACTCTTTTCATCTTGCAAAATTGAAACTCTATATCCGTTAAACATTTAACTTCCCATTCTCCCCCTCCCCCCAACCCCAGGCAGCTATCATTCTTTTCTCTGTCTCTATGAGTTTAACTACTCTAGGTACCTTTTCTAAGTGGAATCGTACAGTCTTTGTCTTTCTGTGATTTGTTTATTTCACTTAGCGTAATGTCCTCAAGATTCATCCATGTTGTAACATGTATCAGAATTTCCTCCCTTTTTAAGGCTGAATAATATTACATTGTATGTATATACTATGTTTTGTTCGTCCATTCATCTGTGGATGGACACTTGGGTTGCTTCCACCTTTTGACTGTTGTGAATAATGCTGCCATGAACATGGGTATAAAATATCTGTTCCAGTTCCTGCTTTCAATTCTTTTGAGCGTATACCCAGAAGTGGAATTGCCACATGATGTGGTAACTCTGTTTTTAATTTTTTGAGGAACTGCCATACTGTTTTCCACAGTGGTTGCATCATTTTACGTTCCTATCAGCAATACACAATGTTCCAATTTCTTCACATCCTTGCCAACACTTGTTATTTTCTGTGTTTTTGATGATAGTCATCCTGATGGGTGTGAACTGGTATTATGGTTTTGATTCTCATTTCCATAATGATTAGTGATGTTGAGCATCTTTTCATGTGCTTATTGGCCATTTGTGTATCTTTTTTGGAGAAATGTCTATTCAAGTAGAAAGTTCTTTTTCCTGTGAACCCAACTCTGGCCTCATTGGGCTTTGTTGTCTGGGGTAACCCCTGACGAGTCTGCTAGTTTACTCTGAATTCTTCTGGAATTCCCAGAGGACCTGCATCTGCTTGGGCCTGTGTTCCCAGGCTGTTGTGTGGGATGGCTTGTGGGTTCCTCACCTGTCTGAACCTGATCTCATTTGTGGATGTCCTCTTTACATTGTTGACGTCCTCCCTCTGGTGGAAGATGGTGTAGCGGGGCACAGTATCCAACTTTTCAGCCGCAATTCACTGTGCTTCTGCGACTTGCTAGAGTGACCATGTGAGTTCATTGAGGACACTTGGCTTCTTCTCACATAGGCAGCTGAAGAGTTTGAGCTCCCCATCCTGTACCTGTGTGGTTTTGGGGCGAGGGGAGCTTCAAAACCCTAGTGGTGAATATATCCAAGAGAGAAGCAAGCCGCTCCCCTCTCTGCTGAGGGCAAAGTAAGAAGAACTTGGGTGATTCTGATGCAAGAGGGATTTCGGTTGGAAATTGGGGAGCATTTCTAGAAAATGAGACGGAGGTTAGAACACTAGCTTACGTGTGTTTTACGGACGGTGGAGTGATTTGGCTGTTTGGGACATGTCAGTGCACTAGATTCTGCATCTGTGGGCTTCTCAACCCCAAGGACCTCCAGCCCTTGAAGCCTAGGTGGACAGGACACCCCTGCCTCTCAGCCTAGGTGTGGGGTGGTGACACAGGTCATGGGAAGTACATTGGATCTGGGAATCAGGTTGTATGACCTTAAAATTAGTTTGCCTCTCAGAGCCTCAGTCTTGTCGTCTTTAAATTGGAGGTGATATGACTCATGTTGTCCCCTTTGGAGAGTTTTTATGAGTCCAGTGGAAAACATTCTTTAGAAATAATAACTCGTCCTGCAAATGTAGGGGGATTAGCAATGACAGCACAGTGTTGGTCAGTTCTTGGGGTAAAGGGTATGGGGCTATGGGCATCCCAGAGTCACTGCCCTGGATACCATCCTGGATCCACTGAATCGGAATCTGGAGGGAGATGTAGAATGGGTAGTTTGAGACAGCTTTCCCAGTGATTATAGAATGTGCTGGAAGTCTGGGGTGGTGGGGGCATCCCATTGTAATGCAGTATGGTAAGGTTGTGGAGCAGACTTCTTGGGGCGGTTTAGAGAGGGCAGGAAAAGCTTCATGGAGGAGGTGACATTTGAGTTGTGTCTTGGAGGATGTGTAGGAGTGTCCCAGGTGGAGAAGGGGGATTGTAGGCAGAGGGTACAGCAGGTACAGACACATGGGCTGTGAACAAGGGGAGGGCTGCTTGGTGAGGCTGGAGCACAGGTGTGTGTGTGGGAGTTCCGAATGGGGCAGATGGAGGCAGACCTTGGAAGGCCCGAGTGAGAGGTCACGGTGGGAGGTAGAGGGGTGGGCGAGGGGGCTTAGGAGACTGGACTTCAGCAGGTGCTGCCCCCTTGAGGCTGGGGCCTGGCCGCACACAGCCTGTAGCCCTGGTGAGGTTCCCCATACCAAGGGAGGGTGGGGCTGGGCCCTGAGTCACACCGTCTTGGGGACCCTGCTCCGGCCAGCAAGGCCAGGTCACGGCCGATAGCACCTGCTGCAGTGAGTCATCGAGACTGTGGCCCTGATGTCAGGGCGGGAAGAAGAGGATACTCACTGATAGGGTGGCTGGGCTGCAGCTCTTTCCAGAGTGAGAGTTCTCCCAGAATTTATCCCTTCTGATTGCACTGACAGGGCTGCCATCAAGCAAGTCTGTGGTCCCCAAGAGCCCCTGTGCAAAGGGAGCTTGGGACAAAGCGCCTGGGAGAAGCCCTTTAGGCATGAGAGGGTTATTTCTTGCTCCTCACAAATTTCTTTGACTCCTTCTCGTACACTGCTCACCTACACCCAGAAAATCATTAGGAGCCTGTGTCACAGGTCGAGAGCAGAGTGAATGGGTTCTTGGGAATGACTGATGGGAGGAGGTGCTAGAGGTTTGCACTCAAGGCCTTTGGGGTGCCCTGAGGCCAGGGCTGCGGACTCTCTGGGCAGGTGGGTGTCCCCTGCCTAGGTCCCTGCTGCTGCATATTGTCATCTCAAACCCTCTGGCCGTCCCATTCTGGGGGAGTTCTTTTGTTCCTCTCCACCTCCAAGGGGGAAATCCTGTAGCTGAAAGAGCACTGGGCACACCTTTCTGAAGCGGCCTTGCCCGGTTCTCCTGGATGTGCCATCCCCTGCCTCTGTTGTGCTGTGTTGCACAGCGCTCCCAAAGTGCTCATTCCCCTGGGTGACCTTACCACGTCCACTCTGCATTGTAGCTGCTCAGGGCGCTGGCCTGGGAGTCAGACGAACTCAGGTCTGGTGGCTGGCCCTGCCCCTTACTGGTGTGACCTTGGGGAAGTCCCCACCTGAGCCTGTTTGCTTATTCGTCAAGTGGAAGTAGTAATGCCTGCCCCAAAAACCCAAAAAGCCTGCCTCCCAGAGTTGTTGTGAGGATCAAAGGAGATGGAGAGCGGTTAGTGTAGGGCCTGGCACATGGTAAGTGTACGGTAAAAGCCAGCATTTCTCTTAGTCACCTGTGTCTCCAGGCCAAACCTGTCTCTTGAGCCCTAGATTCATGTCTGCTCCGCCCAGACATCAGCCCAGGTCCCCCCTCCTGTGCCTCACGCTCAGCACAACCCAAACCAAATACATCACTTGCCTTCGCCAACCTCCCTGCGTTCCTCTCCAGCGAAGGGCAGCACCACCCACCAGCCATCCAAGCCAGGACATCCCCGGGACGTCAGGCTGGACACCGCCCTCCCTTGGTTCAGGTCCTTGTCACGTCTTGACAGAATTCTTACAACAACCCCTCCTAACCCGTCTCCTGTCTCTGGTGTGTGAGCACCCATGAGTCCCCCACAGCACTGCCTCAGGCATCTTGCTAAATCACAAGCCTGCATCTGTCACGCCCCGACCTACAGCCGTGGCTCCCCATCCCTTTTCCGGTGGAGTTCACACCCCTGAGCTTGCTGAAGAGGCCTTCTCCAGCTGCCCGCCCACCTCTCCTTCGTGCCTGGCCCTTCCTCACGTGTCTCTTTCCCTCCAGGTGGACTGAACCTGGCTTGGCACTTTTGCATGTGTGTCCTCCCGTCCTCATGCCGTGTCTTCATGTGGTCATCTCCGTTCTTCCTTCCACGCTCATCTTCACATCACCTCCTCCCACATCCTCCCTGCCTGACCTCTGTACCTAGCTCAGAGGTGCCTATACCATGGGACGTCACAGGTCTGTAACGTTTCAAAAAGAATTTTGGGATCAAATAAGGTTGCCAACTTTTAATTTTGCTAAGTAAGGATGTAAAATTAAACAATTAAGATGCTGGCCTGGTGGTGTAATGGTTAAGTTTGTGCACTCTGATTCGACGGCCCAGGGTCCACAGGTTCGGATCCCGGGCGTGGACCTAGACACTGCTCATCAAGCCACACTGGCGGCGTCCCACATACAAAATAGAGGAAGATTGGCACAGATATTAGCTCAGCAACAATCTTCCTCACCAAAAAATAAACAATTAAATAAAAAGTAGCTATTGCTATTTACCATCACCATTGTTTCATGAAAGAGGATAAAACAAGAGCATATGGTCAGAATGAAGGACACTCTGGCAACCTTACACCATGCGGAGATCCACGCTGCCTCATTCGTATTTTCCTTTGGCCTCAGACTGATAGACTTCTCTGCAGACCATCATGGGTGGTGTTTGGGACCCAGCTGGAGGTGATTTATTTCTCCTAAGGAGACTGTTAGCTCCTCGGTGAGAATTTTTGGTGTTTTGGGTTTTTTTTGCTTAAATGGAGGAGCAGTGATTAACCGTCTGGTTGGTGGTTTACAGGCTGTGAAGTGGAGGGCGGGAGGGAGCGAGCTCAGAGTGGAAAGTGCTGCCTGGCGCTGCCCGGCCTGTGGGTTCCCCCACCCCTTCCTGTGAGTCTCTGGCTTTGTGGTTCATCCCTCTCTCCTTGTTCCCTCATCTCTGCCACCCTCTGGCCTCTTTTTCTCTTTTTTTTCCCTCTTTATTCTCAGCCCACTCCTATTTTCCCTCTCTGTAGTCCAACCCCTGAGCCCCACCCATATCTTAACTGGTCATAATATACAATTTAAAAATATTTTGGGGGCCGGCCAAGTGGCATAGTGGTTAAGTTTGAGTGCTCTGCTTCAGTGGCCCAGGGTTCACAGGTTCAGATCCTGGGTACGGACCTACATACCACTTATCAAGCCATGCTGTGGCAGCATCCCACATACAAAATAGAGGAAGAGTGGCACAGATGCTAGCTCAGGGCCAATCTTCCTCACACACACACACAAAATCAAAACTGATAAATATTAAAAACAAAATTTTTGTTAGAAAAAAATGCTTTATGTTCTCTGTTCTTAATTTTGAGAGTCAGGTTAGTTTTTAAATATTGTGTGCCGGGCCAGTGCTAGGTCCTTTCAGCATGATCTCAGGTGATCTGTGCCGGAGGGAGCCATTCCTGTTAATTAGAAGTGAAGAAACAACACCTAAAAGAGGTTGTCTTGACCTTGACCAAGGTTACATATCTGGGATGAAGGCCTCTGCCATCTTTTGTATTGGATTTCTCTATTCCAAAACCCAAGTGAGCAAGCCCAAATCAATTCTCAACTTAACAGAAGTTTCTTGTTTTAAAAATTCATGTGAAAAAAAAAGAACCAACAACAATAACTCATGTATTGTCTTCTATTCATCTCACTTATTGGATTATGGTCATTCGTCATTCATTCATTTTGTTATGAATATAAAATACATCTTCCAATCTTGGAAATATTAATCCAGGGAAAACACACAGCAGCAACCACTGTTAATGTTCCTAACAGTCTTTTTTTCCCAGTGATTTTCTATAATTGAAATTTTACTAACTACACGGTTTTTCAGCAAGATGCCGGCCTGTGTTAAGGTCTGAGTTTCAAAAGATGAGTAAGATACAGTCCCTGAGTTTGAGAAATGTTCAATCTAGAGATAATTTTTTAAATAAAGAAAAAAAAATCATTCTTGGAGCCAGAAAGCTTTACCACTTATTTCTTACAAAACTTTGGGCAAGTTATTTAACCTCCCCATGCCTCAGTTTCCCCATCTGTATAGTGGGAATAACGACGATGCCCATCTCAGAGTATTGTTGTGAGGATTAAAGGAGTTAATTCATGTCAGTGGGTAGAATGGCACCTGGCACATAGTGAGTGCTCAATAAATGTTAGATATTCTGTCATTGTGGCTCTTGTTACCACCACCATTGTCACTGCCACTGTCACCTCCTGGCACACAGGGGGCACGCGGGGGCCAGTGAATGATAGTGCCTTCCCCTCTTTTGTCCAATATACTGGCTGAAGTGGGGCGTTAGGAAATAGAAAGTACTTGAGGAGAAATAGAAAATACCTTTGTCTAAACAGAAGAAAAAATGCTCCCTAATGTTGGCACTGTTCCATAGACTTTCTGAGCCCCAAGTTCTTTGTAAAATTGGTAGAATAGCCCCTGCCTTGCATGATACTGCGAAGGTGACGTGAGATGACAATACAGGCAAACGAGCCACCTGGACTGGCGTATGGTAAGCCTCAACAAAGGTTGCTGCAAGAAATATTAGTAATATTTTCTTAGTATGCTATTAATATGGTCAATCTAAGTTACTTTGCCCTGAGCCCGTTTCTTCGTCTGTAAAATGGAAATGATTAGTATTAATAACGATGTAAAAGTTGCTCCACCTTCCATCTCAGGGAACAAAATGGTCTGAATCAGGGGTCCCCATGATCATCTTGGAAGCTTTTAAAAAGTCTTGTTATGTAAGACAATTTTATTCTGCATTAGAAAAATGTTATTCATCCTGGTAACATTCCTGGGTTATTTGAGATAAAATTCCAACCACTTTACTCCCGGAAATCTGAGCCTCTAAAGGTTAAACGTCCTTCTCTGGACCACAGGCCATGTTGGGGGTCAGAGCTGAGGGTGGAAGCTGTGTGGGTCTCCTTTTCTTCCTGAAACATCTCTTGGTGTGGGGTGCTTTTGAAACCCCTGGTGTCTGACTCCCATCCCCAAGGTCTTGAGGCCGCAGGTCTAGGATGGGGCCTAAAAGGCCACAGATGATGCTGAACATGGCCGGGCTTGGGAACCGCTGGACCAAATGACCGTCCATGGTCAGCCATGTTTTCTATCTTGTGCTGACCCCCATCCCCTGGTTTTAGTTTTCATTCTAGCACCCCCGTATCATTTCTTCATCCTTCAGTCGCCCCCTGCTATGCATCTAACTGCTCTCTGCTAGGCTGAGCTGGGAGGAACAGAGAGGAATAAGAGGCTGGGTCCCTCCGGTTTATTCTACGCTGAGTTTGGGCTAACTCTCTGTGTGACCTAGGACAAGTTGCTTTCCCTCTCTGGGCCTCTGTTTCCTCTTTGTACAATGGGTGAGACTGAACATGCTCTTATGTCCCCTCCAGTGATGCTAGTGTCTGTTTTTCTCCCCTCCTGGGGATGGCACACTCCCACCGAGAATTCTCTCCCGAGCAGAAGCAGGATCACCCTCTGCTCCACCCCCTTGTTGGTCCTTATGCTACTCCCAGCTCAGGGAGACTTGACATCTTTGTGTAAACCATTTCTGTGTTATTTTTAACTTCTTGATGGAAAAATGATGAACTGAAAAGAAAATATTTTAAAATCCAGAGCATTCCACCACTGCCTGTCACGGTTCAGCTCCTGGTCCCTTGGGCCCACGTTTGCGGCTGAGCCAGTCTCGTGTCAGTACTCTCACTTTGATGCGTGGCCCCTGCTGCCTGGGGGTGTTCTGCAGAAACATGTTCCCATGGAGGAGGAGGGGCCTTGTCGGGTCGTCTGGTCCACATCCCTTCTCGGGCAAAGTGTACCAACCCACCCAGGCAGATGAGAACTTGTTTATTTTAAATTCTTTTTATTGCAGAAAGGTGCATAGAAGGAAATGAATGTTTTTAAAAAATTAAATTAAATTTTTTCCCCAGTTTTATTGAGAGATAGTTGACATACATTACTGTATAATTTAAGGCATACAGAAGGGTGATTTGGTTTACATATATTGTGAAATGATTACCACAGTAGGTTCAGCTAACATCCATCTTCTCAATTGTATCTTCTCTAGATACAATAAAAAGAAAAGAAAGAAGAAAAAAGGAAAACAATTTTCTCCTTGTGATGAGAACCCAATGATTTATTCTCTTAACAACTTTCCTGTATATCATACAGCCCTATTAGCTACCATCATCATAATCAAAATGTTAACAGTGCTTCTCTCTGGGCATGTGTATCCTTCCAATTTTTTCTTCCTGTGTGTAAATACGTATTATTGTATGTAATTTAATATACAACAAATAATGATATAAATATGTTCCTTTAGAAACTTTGGATCAAACTATATGGACTTTTTCTAGCCTTGCATTTTTTATATATTACGTCCTTGACATTTTTCTAAAATATTTTTAAAGGCTATTGCAGTATATGGCTATGTCACAATTTATATAGTCCCTTATGGTTGTATATTTGCTTATTGCCAACATTATGCTCTTTTAAATAACATTGTGAAGAACTCTATTCTCCTTCTGCAGCCCATCAGGCAGGATTTCAGGGTCCATGAATCATTAATAATGACCCTTACTTCTATCCACAGAACCCAGGAGCCCTGAAGTTGAGACTGAGGTGTCCCCGTCCACACAGGTGAGCTCATGTTCTTGTGAAAGAGTCAGGGCAGCAGTGCCTAAGGGTTTGGATGGTGGGCTGGCACCAGACAGGATTTGGTTCAAATCCCAGCTCTGCCACTTACTAAAAATGTGGCCGTGGGCAAGTTACCTGTCCTTTTCCTTTTTGAGGAAGATTAGCCCTGAGCTAACTACTGCCAATCCTCCTCTTTTTGCTGAGGAAGACTGGCGCTGAGCTAACATCCGTGCCCATCTTCCTCTGCTTTATATGTGGGACGCCTACTACAGCATGGCTTTTGCCAAGTGGTGCCATTTCCGCACCCGGGATCCGAACTGGCGAACCCGGGGCCACCGAGAAGCAGAACATGTGCACTTAACCGCTGTGCCACTGGGCTGGCCCCCTTACCTGTCCTTTTCAAGCCTCTGCCAAACAGGGTAATAGCAGTGCTCTTGCCCAGGGCCTTTGGGGCCAAGTAAATTGTGGAGCGGCGCTGGCCTGGCTCTCAGAACTGCTCTGCGTCTAGTGGCTGCTGTTTCATCTCTGGGCTTTTTGGGCACCACTGACGGCTTAGCTCATGACGCGGATTCAACTCATCCGAGCCCTTTCCCCCATGGACGCCTGGTGTCATAATTTTCTGGAAAGAGGATTACCTCTGAAGCTGCCTAACAAATCCTTGAGTAATCCAATTTCCCATGCAACTACATCTCCTCCTGTGGTCCTTAATTCCCTAAACGCTAAGCTAGGAGGCTTGGCCCCTCCTGGAGCTGGGCAGCACAGGGGAGGAGCCTGGGTCCCGCCCCTTACCCATATTCCATGCTGGACTGTCCAGGCATTGGCAGAAGCAGCTCCAGGGTGAAGCCCATTCTTCTGGGGCCGGAGAGCATCCAACACAGGGTGTAGGGGAACTGACACTGACTGAGAACTTGCCCAGCCCCACTAGGCTCTGAGCCTTGCATTTGCTATCTCATTTGATCCTTACGTTAACCTAGATTCAAGGTGCCAAGGATGGTCGTGCCTGCAAAGGAGTACAGCTGACAGCCACATGGATTAAGAAATATGCTCAAGGTTACATAGATACTAAGTGGTGGATCCAGGATTCTAGTCTGTGCTTTTCCCAGTAAGTGGTGGTACCTCTGTCCTGGCACCAGACCCATGGGACAGCTGCTGCTTCAGCATATCTGTTGATATCTCCTCTGGGCAAGGTGCTGTGCCCTTCAGCTCTTGGTGGAGACGCAGTTGGGAAGAAATCCCCACCTTGAGCAGGGAAGGTGTAGATACAAATAAGGCCAATAATAGTGCAAAAGTTGAGAGTGATAGGTCAGAAATGGAGAGGTCCATGAGACAGAGAAAGGAATGCCTTGGGTGGATCAGGGAGTGGGTTAAGGAGAGGTGGCACCTGAGCTGGGTCCTGAATGATGGTGGAATCTGCTGAAATGGGCTTACAGTGAGGAATGTCTCTTTTAGGCATCTACTACTAATGAAGACAATGAAAATACTCTGTTTAAAGATTCTGCAAATGCAACAAGCCTCCCAGGTAAGGACTGGATATTTTTATATTCCTATGGTCTATGGGGCACAAAAGTCCTGTCTCTGTAGAAAGTCCTTTTTCATTTGGAAATGTTGGCAGAGGGCCAGTCTGCTGAATGGAAAAGGTCAATGGCAGAAATGTTCTTTTGTTACTTAATACATTCAAGTTTATATTGTTAGCTAAGATATAGTGAGGGGACCATAAAACAAATGTGACAAATCAGCAAAATATTTCAGAATTGGCCCAGAATACAAATGAGTGTGCTACAAACAAAATTACTGGAGTCTGAAATGGAACACGTGTGGAAGGAAATCTTTGTTTTGGGGGCCCTTGATTTTGCTTCTGTTTCTCTATACCTGTAAGACTGGGAAAAGTTATCAACATTTGCAGCAAGAAAGATTAGAGGGGCCGGCCCCATGGCCGAGTGGTTAAGTTCACACGCTCTGCTTCGGCAGCCCAGGGTTTCGCTGGTTCGAATCCTGGGCACGGACATGGCACCACTCATCAGGCCATGCTGAGGTGGCGTCCCACATGCCACAACTAGAAGGACTCACAACTAAACATACACAACTATGTACCAGGGGACTTTGGGGAGAAAAAGGAAAAATAAAATCTTTTTTTAAAAAAAGAAAGATCAGAGGTCCTATGTTTGTTTTCCCATGTGTATGGGACTCATGGAGTCCAGACTCCATAGGTTCAGTAGATGAGCAGCTCCATCTGATGGCTTTTGGGCTTTCTGAGGAAGTCCTTGGCCTTGTTACCCTTACCTGGGCAGACTGCTGCCTGCACCTGCTGCTGGCTACCCATGCTGTGCCATCCTGGTTGCAAAGCCTTTCCTAGTGCAGGGCCCCTGGGGAGGACCTACTAAATGCCTGGGGCTACGCTCTGCCTGCACAGCTGTAGACTCAGAGAACTGAACCCATTCCTGCTCTCCAGGAGTCTACAGTCCAGTGGACAGGTTCTGGCAGAGAGTAAAGTAGCAATCGTAACAAAGAGCAGAGTGTGAGATAAGCCAAAAAGGAGGCATGGAGAAACTGTGGAAATTAATAAAAGAAGTCTTAACCAAATGGGAGTCAGGAAGACCTGTAGGAGGAGCTCTTATGCCCTGTCAGACATCAATTACAGAGTGGCTTGCATCTTGGACAGGAAGTAAAACTACTTTACTACTGAAGGAAGATTTCTCTCCCCACCTGGCAACAGCCCAGCCAATGAGAAGCTGTTGCCACCCAGAACTGCTACTTTCCCCCAGTGGACTTTAGAACAGCCCCTCCCTAATCCCCCTTTTTTCTTTATAAAAACAGCTCCCCTCTTAAAGATTTTATTTTTCCTTTTTCTCCCCGAAGCCCCCCAGTACATAGTTGTATATTCTTTGTTGTGGGTCCTTCTAGTTGTGGCATGTGGGATGCTGCCTCAGTGTGGCTCGATGAGCAGTGCCGTGTCCGCACCCAGGGTCTGAATCAACGAAACCCTGGGCCGCCAAAGCAGAGCGTGTGAACTTAACCACTCGGCCACGGGGCCGGCCCCAAGGCAGCTCCCGTCTTTTGTTTTCTGGTTTTGCCTGTGGTTTGCCATAGCATGCACATCCAGAATTGCAATGCTTTTGGCTTTTCCCAAATAAACTTGTTTTGAGGACAAAATAACAGGCAAATTTGCTTTTTAAGTTGACAGAAGCAAAGTGGAATTTAGAGACTTGAGAGAGCATGTTGAGTTGGGGGAGTCACAGAAAGCTCATGGGGGAGGTGCCGTTTGAAATGAGCCTTGAATAATATGGGTGGATGGTCCGGGCAGCAGTTCAAGAGCTGCTGTGGAGGAGGGACCCTCCGGTATGCCTCATCCACTCTCACTGATGATCTCATCCAGCTCCATGTCTTTAAAGACTCCTGGGGCCTGATGACTCCCAAACTTCTGTCTCCTTCCCTGATCTTTCCACTAAGACCCAGACTCACGTATCCACTGCCTGGCTGACAAGTCTACCTGGATACTTACTAGAAATCTGAAACTTAACATGGTTGACAGAATGCTTGATGCCTTCCCACATCTCCAGCCCAAATCTTTTCTTCTCCATCTTCCTCATCTCAGTAACTGGCACCATACTCTGTGGGTTTCTCAGGCCCGGGAGAACAGGCGTGCTTCCTCTTCTACCCCTCACCCCATGTCCAGTTCCCCAGCAGGTCCTGTCGGTTGTACCTTGAGACATGTCCAGAAGCTGACCACTTTTCACCACCTCCCCTGCCAACACCTGATACAGCCACTGCTGTCTCTCCTCCTGCAGGACTTTAGGAGCTGCCTGCTGGCTCACTAGCTTTTAGTCTTAACCTCGAACAGACTCTTCCTCTTCTAGCAGCCAGAACGACTCTTGAAACACAAATCTAAGCTGTCCCTGTCTCACACCATCTTCCCTAGAATAAAAGCCAGAGTCCTGACAGAGGTCCCAGTCTCTATGGAATGGGGCTCCCTATCTTTAGATCTCGCCGCCTCCATTCTCTCTCTCACCCACTCTTCCCTCCTTGCTCTTCCACTCATGCTCTACCTCAGGGCCTTTGTACTTGCTGCTTGCTGTGCCTGGATGCTCTTCCCCCAGCCTCCAGGTGGCCAGCTCCTTTATACATCCAAGCCTCTGCTCAAATACCCACTTCTTGGGGAGGCCTTTCCCCACTACCCCATGTGATGGAGCCTCCCCGCTGTCACTCTCTCCCTATCCTGTGCTTTGCTTTTCATCATGCCCTTGTCATTACTGATGTCATATTACATACTTGTTTGTCTGTATCCCTTTATTAGAATGTAAGATCCAGGAAGGCTTTTCTGTCATCCTTTTCTCTGTAACCATGAGACTTAGAACAAAGACTGGCATGTGATAGACAGTGAATAAATATTTGTTGAACAAAAGAAGGAACAAATACATAAGGTGATGGAATACTAGTAAATGGGTAAGCCAAGCATACTGCTTCCTTTAAATGGCTGTCTGCCAAGAGATGTGGGACATACTCAGAGAAACCTGTTCTTGCAGTCAATGCTGCCTCCCAATCTGGACTCATGGCAAAGCCTGCATCCACTGGGCACCTGAAGTGATGACTGGCAGGCGGCATCTTCACCAGCAGGGGCAGAGGACCTGAATCCCGAGTCCATGGGACTGCAAATGTAGTCATGCCCTGCATAGTGACGTTTCAGTCAACAGCAGACCATATATGACGGTGGTCCCATAAGATTAGTACCGTATAGCCTAGGAGTGTAGTAGGCTATACCGTCTAGGTTTGTGTAAGCACTGTAGGGAAGAAAGAAATTTTCCTCTACCCTTCTGGTTTCTTCTGATCTAATAATTAAATTGACATGAGACAGGTTGGCAGGAGAAAAACAAACAAAAGTTTAATAACATGTATACATGGGAGAAACCCAGGAAAACCCAGTAACTCCCCCAAATGGCCGAAGCCCTCCCCTTGAATTCCATCCTCAGCTAAAGACAAAGGAAGATGTTGGGGGTGGGGAGAGTCAGAGACTTCAAAGGGAAGGAAGGCAATTCAGGTAGGTGAAAAGGAGCAAATGTTTGGAAAATAAGTGTTTGTCTGGCTGCACAGAAACAGTAGAACACAGAGGGAAGCCCAAAAAACAGGCTTTTCGAGGTTCCTCCCTGTCTACCACCTGGTTCACAATATTCTAAGGTGGTAGCTCGCTTCCTGAGATGGGTTTTTTTAATCTGAATTCTTTTAGGCACTTAGGGGGAGGTAACCAGAAAACTTTGTGAGTCTTTTGTTTCTTAAAAATAATCAGCATAAAATAATCCTCATGTCAAAGAGACTCATTTTGGGGTGCCAAATTTTGTTCCCTTTCAATACACTTTATGATATTCACAAGATGACAAAATCATCTAATGGCTTGTTTCTCAAAACACAGCCCTGTTGTTAAGTGGCGCATGACTGTATCTGCCTTCTCAGCAGGAGAGATTGATGGTCTGGCTTAGACGTACTCTCTGTCCAGTCCGGGTCTCCCTCTGGCAGCCGTGGGCAGGAGCTTTCCGTGGAAGGACATGGTTGCTTGTGAAGCTAGTTTGTTCTTTCATTCATTCAAAGAAATATTTTGGTGAGCCTGCTTTGTGCTAGGCACTGGGTGAGCAGTTGGGAGAGTAACAGCGAAAGAGACACATGTGGTCCCTGTATTCAGGGAGCTCAGTATAGAGGTGGAGCTGGAGAAGTCACCAGGTGGGGCACTTACCCAGCTTGGAGTGGGGCCACTTCTCAAAGGAAGTGACATCACCTCATCTGAGACCCAAAGGCCAAGGTGGGACTGGATAGCCAAGGGGGCCATGAAGGTGGGCAGAGCATTCCAGGAGAGAAGAGAGAATATATGGAGCGCCTTTGGAGGAGAAAGAACGTGCCCTGTGGAAGAACGAGTGAAGCTTGTATGGCTGGGGCTTGAGTACCAAGTGGGGAGACTGGCAAGAGATGACACCTCAATGGAGAAAACTGCACCCAAATACTTGATTTAAAGCACCTGAGCCTCCCTGATGTCGTCCTCAATGGAGCTGCCATCAGTGAGGTCCCCAAAGCTTCTGTTTCTTGCACCCCCTCTATGCCTTGTAGGGGCAGGCTGAACGCCACTAGAAAAGTCACTCTGAAAGTGAGTGGGAGTCTGTGGCTGGCCGCAGGAGCTCAGAAGCTCTGAGCTTGAGGTGTACCTCTTGCCAAGTGGTGGAATCCTGGGGTCTTTCAGAATTATGCTGGGGGTGACTCTTCCAGTGTTGGCTTTGGCCAGAAAACTGGCAAGCCTCTTAAGTGGCCTGATGGTTAGCAGAGCTGTTTCCTTCTCCAGGCGTGTTTCCTTCTCCAGACTTCTCCAAAAGTCTTGAGGCTTTTGACAGCACCAGCTGAGTGGGGTTTTTTTCTTCTTTTCTTTCCTCTGCTCCTCTTCCTCTTCTTTTTCTTCATCTTCTTTTTATTTCTAGTGCAAGATTCTTCTTTGACATCACTGCCCACATTCCTGGTGGCTGGAGGAAGCCTGGCCTTTGGAACGCTCCTCTGCATTGGCATTGTCCTGAGGTGAGATGGCTCCTGGGGGTGGCCCTGTGATGTTCTCATTTTCTTATCTAGCTGGCTTTGCCTGTGCTAGGATGGTGGCAATGGGTTGGAGAGCCATGAGTGGATTCAAGACATGTTTTAGAGGTAACATTGACAAGATTTGATGACAGATTAGATGAGGAGAATGAAGGAGAGGGAAGAGTCAGTCTGACCTCAAGCTTCTGGCTTCAGCAATTGGGCAGATGGTGGTGTCATTCACTAAAACCGGAAACACTAGAGGAAGAAGAGCTGAGGGAAGAGCAGTGATTCTATTTGGAACCATGGAGTGTGAGGAGCCTGAGAAAATCCCAAGTGGACGTGTCTGGCAGACAATTCGTCTTGTTGCCAGCGTGTAGATGGTAGTTGGAGCCATGGGAGAGAAAAGTTGTGTAGAGGAGGAGGAACTGAGAAAGGGGTAAGAAGGGGTGGCCTGGGAGGGAGGAGAAGAACCAGGAAGACCTGGTTGTGAAAACTGAGGGAGAGACTGTGTGTTAGGTACTGAAGAAACACCTTAGGCTCTGGGATTACAATGGAACATGACCTTTCCTCTCCTCCAAGAGCCGTACTAAAATGACGACAGTACCACGGAGAAGCACCACAACAGAAGTGTGTACACAGGTCAATCTGAGGTACCTGGCCAGACCTCCTTAGGAATATTCCATATCTCAAAACAAGCAGACCTAGAGAGTCACCTTTAAGTGCTGGGTCCTAGTGCTCTCCCCTGCCATGGTTGGGAAGCACTCAGGCTGAGCTGGTGTCCTGGCCGCTGCAGCACAATGCTCGTTTCATCTCAGTCTTTCTCTCCATCCGATCATTAGTGTTATCTTTCACTCCCAAGGATGCAGAATAATCAGCTAACAGTCGTCCCAGTGAATGGACAATAAAGAAAACTTACGATGTTCAGGATTTTACAGCAGGAGCTCGCAATTTCACATATGCTGAAGGCCTAAAAGTAGTCAGACTGGGCCCTGGCTTTGGGCAGTGGTTAATTATGATAATACAAGTGGAGGAGAAACTTCCCCCTGACCTTCCTTTCTCTTAGCTCGTGTGTAACTTTCAAGGGACTCTAGTTGGTGATTGTGAGAGGTGGGCTTTGAGGGTGTTTAGGAAGGAAGGGTAAGACCTTGGCAGGGAGCTTTCCACACATTAGCTCATTGGATCTTCACAGTGACCCTGAACTAGCTTGACCACCAAGGTGGTCTGGGTTGGAAGATTAGCAAGATGACAACTCAAACTGTGTTCAGGGTTGTTTTTACTTTGATTTTCCAATGAAATAGTGAGTAAAATTTCCAAAGGGTGTGCAAGAGATAAAGTTCCTAATGAATAGAGGTAGCTCCTTGTAGGAGCCTTCCATACCTTCTCTACCTTTGGGCCAGTGGGGGCCATGCCTACAGTCAGAGGTCTTCCTACTGCCTTCTGAAGGATTCCTTGCCTCACCTCAGGCACAGACTTCTGTGTTCTATTTCTATTTCTATATCAGTAGGGCTTCAACAGGCCTTTCTCATAATTTACCGGAGATCCTATAGAGTAAATATCATGATTTCCACTTCACAGATGAGGAAACTAAAGCCGAATGAGGTGGCATGAGTACAGCTAGTAAGGGTAAGGCCAAGATTGAAACCCAAAGCTCATGCTCTTTGAATAGGGCCTTAGGGGTCATTTAGTCAAATTCTCTAATTTTACAAATAAAGAAACAGCCCTGAGAGGTAAGATGACTTGCCCAAGGACACACAGCTTGTTAATAGCAGAGCCAAAACTAGAACTCTTGTCCTGAAAGTCCCTGCCCACTGTCCTAGCCTGCTGTCAGCTAAGAGCTGGCCCCAGTCTGTGCTATCAATGCGCTGTTGACCAGTGGCACCGTTAACGAGCAGCGCCATCTTGGTGTGCTGTTAACCACTAACAGAGAAGTGTTAGGTTGAGAACTGACCACAGCGCTCATCGCAGTCCTGCTGGTGGGGCTTGGACACTGGCTGGTTGCTCCACAACCAGAGTCTCCAGAGGCACAAAGAGGGCAAATGCCCTGTGCTGAGAATGTGTCAGTAATTTATTTCCTAGCCTGGTGAGTTTCCATTTTCTCCTATAGAAGGCAAATTTACTTGAAAGAGGCCAGTTATTTCAAGTGATAAAAACCCTTCTACTCCCAAAGTCCCTCGTATCAAGAGAGGGGTACAAGCTTAGAGACACCATGGGAGTCTGGGAGTGCCAATATGGCTGAACCACAGTGACCGTTGGAATGGCCACATTACATCAGGCAGAATGTGAGAGGCCGGTTGAAGTCCATCCTGCCAGTCCATGATACCATATTTTTCTTTTTAATACATTTATTTTGTCTCTAGCAAAGCGTAGTATTTTCCTAAATATTTTTCCAGCTACGTCAGTGATAATTTTTTTTTATTTTTTATTTTTTTTATTTTTTTTAAAGATTTTATTTTTTCCTTTTTCTCCCCAAAGCCCCCCAGTACATAGTTGTATATTCTTCGTTGTGGGTCCTTCTAGTTGTGGTATGTGGGACGCTGCCTCAGCGTGGTTTGATGAGCAGTGCCATGTCCGTGCCCAGGATTCGAACCAACGAAACACTGGGCCGCCTGCAGCGGAGCGTACAGACTTAACCACTCGGCCACGGGGCCAGCCCCGACGTCAGTGATAATTTTTAAAAATTTAAATATGCCATTGGAAAAAGGTATACCATCTTCTTAAATGGATGTTATAACTTACAGGGCCAGTTCTCCGCACCCCGCTTCCTATGGCCCCTCGATTCTCTATTTTATGCTATCAGGCACTGGGAAAATAGGATTCTCACAGCAGAAAATTCGTTTTCTGCACGTTTATTTAGAATGGACTATTAGGTGAGGACTCCCTATGTATATGCCTGTGATTTAAATGGTTTTGTATTAAACGTAGAGTCTCATTCCAATATTTTAAAATCACAGACTCTGCCACCTCCACAGGGGGCTTTCCTGGTGTCTTGGGCCACGGAAGTGGTTGGGGGCCGTGAGTACCCTTGTGGCCTTGGGGGTGGGGTCACTTCCTCTTGCTAGGTCTTAGTCTTTACACCTTATTTTTTTTAAAAGAGTAAGGATTATTATGATTGTTTTTAAAAAATTTCTTTTAGCTGCGGAGCCTTTTCTTTAAACAAAACATTCTGAAGCCCAAATGTGTAAAATAGAGGAAAGGTGGAGGCTGAGGTACAGATGAAGTCTGACAGCTCAGCTGTGGGTTCCTTCTACCTTCCTGGCACCCTCTCCAGCCCCAGGCCCTGCTCAGACCCCTGCCCAGGTCAGGACAGTGCCGGCTGTGGACACCCCCCAGGCTGCTGGTTTCAGCGGCCCCTTGGAGCTTAGTGATTTTCAGAAAAGGTCTCATTCACTCCTCAAAATATTTCAAAAGCAGGAAAGCTTATCTTTCTCAGTTACGTATCCAGTTGCTTTGAAAAAAAACTGAGGGCAGAGACTGCTTTTCATATTAGGTAACATCAACAAAGACTTAAAGAAAAAATTACGTGATATATAATTATTTGCTAATTACTGGCAATTTGCTAAGTACTGACAAATAGAAAGAAGGAAAAAAATCGTATATTATCCAAAGACAGCCACTGTTAATTTTTAAAATGTGAATGTGATCAAAGCATAACAGACATACAGAAAAATGCACACGTCATAAGTGTATGGTTCCATGAATTTTCACAAAGTGAACACACCCATGTAATCAACACTCAGATCAAGAACACTTTATATTTAGATGAATTTCCTGAGTCTTTTTCCTCTGCATAGTTTCTTCTTGTTTGTTTTTATGTAACCATGATTTTTCTGTATCTACAACTCTGAGTTCTGCCTTTTAAATTTAGCATTAATTATAAAATAAGCAATTTTTTCACGTTACAAATTCTTTGTAAACCTCACTTTCCTAGCTGCTAACTTCTCCATTACTCAGATATACCCAAATTCATTTAACCAACCTCCTATTATTGGGCATTGGTGTTGTTGTTTTGCTTTTATAAACAGCGCTGTGTTGAACATCTTCATGCGTAAGGCTTTTTCCATAGCTATTTTATTTCCTTAGGGTATAGTCCCAGAAGTGGAATTCCTGGGACAGAGTCTGGATATTTTGCAATCCAGAGTGTAATGACTCTGTCCTCTCACGAGGGAGGAGAATTCCACCCAGGGACCCAGCAAAGCTCCAGTCAGCACCCCTGCTGGGCTCCCTGCCTGTGTGGTGCCTGAATAATGAAGCTCGAAGTGACATTTTGCAGCTTGTTTATTCCATTTGGATAGCAGGCTAAGAGCCAATGGCAGATTTGGAGCCAACTATCAATTATTTATCATAATAAGCACAGGAATAGCCTGTCGATATAAAAAGAAATCCAAGGAAAATCCCTAAACCTTGTTTTTGACATTGGTTTCCCCTCCTCCCTCCCAGCCCTTCCTGGAGTAGCTGACATTTGGTGGCATTGAGCGAGACCACCTTGCTCCCACTTTGGGGTTCTTTTTTTTTTTTTTTTAAAGATTTTATTTTTTTCCTTTTTCTCCCCAAAGCCCCCCGGTACATAGTTGTATATTCTTCGTTGTGGGTCCTTCTAGTTGTGGTATATGGGACGCTGCCTCAGCGTGGCTTGATGAGCAGTGTGCCATGTCCGCGCCCAGGATTCGAACCAACGAAACACTGGGCCGCCTGCAGCGGAGCGCGCGAACTTAACCACTCAGCCACGGGGCCAGCCCCCCACTTTGGGGTTCTTAAGCAGTAAGTTAGTGGGCACCAAAGCGGGAAGCGGGGGAAGGAGGTGAGCTGCCCTGGAGAAGCTGAACGGCCCCTTCATCAGGGAGACCTGACTGTACCTCTGAAGATTGCTATCACCGTCTCATCTTTCTTTGGGCTGTCAAGTGACTTCTCAGTTACTGAGCCCTGGCTTCGGGCCCAGTGCGGAGCAGTGTGAACGAAGCTGTGATCAGAGAGATGCCTATCTCCTTCCTGTTTAACATCGACCTTCCTGTCAGATGAGTCACTTGTGCCCGAGTGGTGCCCACGGCTGGCTCTGTGAGAACTCGCCAGCATGGTGGGAGTGGACCCAGAGGGGCAGGGAGAAGAGGGGAGGGTGGGAATGTTGGAAGCCAGAGGAGCAGGAGGGCTGTTGAGGGAGCAGTGCAGCCCTTTTCCTGCTGTTAAATGGCAGCTGCAAACAATCTGTCTCTTGCCAGCCTTAATTTGACTGAGACCCATTTTCCTTCCCCTCTGAAAGAATCCTCTCTTTTTTAAGTAAATGGATTTGGGACTGATGATGTATACCTATGGGCATCCTCTGGAATAGGACAAATTAAGTTCTCGGTGCTATAAAGGGACATTCAAGGCCACGTGTGCCTCAGTTTCCCCATTTGTAGATTGGACCTGCAATACACACCTATTCTCTTGGGCTGTTTTTGAAGCCCCCAACTCTTCAGAGTATTGTATAATCCCTGGTGACAAAAACGGCTGATGGAATAAATAGTTATCCATCTTTTGAGCTGAAACCCGAGAGTGCCAGCCCACCAGGGCTGCCAGCTGTTGGTGTTTTTCACTCATGTTCATCACAGGGTGAACTAAACATCTGTGTGGCTTGTCTTTGTGTGTCTTTGTGAAGGTTCAAGAGGACGTGGAAGCTGCAGGCTCTGAAAGAAGGCAAGACGGGCATGCATCCGCCGTATTCCTTGGGACAGCTGGTCCCTGAGAGGCCCAAGCCCACCCCAGTGCTTGTTCCCCTCATCTCCCCGCCAGTGTCCCCCAGCAGCCCCGAGTCTGACAACACCCCGAGGCACAGCCGACCAGATGCCAGGGGCCCACAGAGCCCCTATGACATCAGCAACAGAGACTACTTCTTCCCCAGATAGCTGGCTGGGTGGCACCTGGCAGGTTGTGGTGTCAGACCTGCTGAACTGTGTGGATGACGAAACAAAAGCTGGCTTTAGCAAAAGATGCTTCTCACTGCCATTCCAGCTCATCTCAGGTGCGTGGGGCCTCTGGCTTCACAGTTACAGGAGGGCCTCACAGAAGGTTCTACGCTGGGTAAAAATAGGTTTGCTGCATCTGTTCAGAAGGAAGAGGTGGCTGAGTGTTGGAAATACCCTTCCCCAAATGGCCTGCTTACAGCGGTTAGGGTGAACTCAGGCCCTGTGAACGGAGTGGTGTCAGACTCTACTGGACGCTCAGGTAGAGCCGGGCGGCCGCAGACACCTTGGACTCCCCTGGCTTGGTGTGGAGAAGCCACTGGCCACCTGCACACCCCGACAGATCTCTGCAAGCTGCACCCTCAGGCAGGTGGGATGGATTTCCAGCTAAGGACACCCCCCTCCCCCAGTCACCCGTCCCCTGGCCCACTGCACAGTCTCAAACTCTTGAAACCCACGTGCCTTCACAATTCTGTCTTCTGGGCCTGAGGGCGGCTTTTCTTAAACCACGGAGGCCTGGGGGAAGCCCTCACCTGCCGTTCTTCCCCCCACCTGAAAACAGCGGAGAGGGAGGTGGATGGTATCTCAGGGCCTGATGGTTTGAAATGGATTTATGATTAGTTCCTCATTAGCGTTTTACTAACTGTGAATGATAATCCTAGGCGCTTGCTGAATCCAGCAGCAACTGCATGGGCTCAGTTTCCTCCTTGGGATCCCAGGACTTCAGGAGGAGAGAAGCAGGGAGGAGAGAGGAGAGTGGGGACAGGGTCCCACGTTGATGGTAACGGAGCTGAGGGGGACGTGGCCTCTGCAAACCGGAGTTCTCCATCCTCCCCCTCCCCTGCGCCCCGAAAGGAGGACTGGCTTTGGGAGGGGCCTCTGCCAGGGGTGAGATCAAAATTGTGTTCCTCCAGCTTTGTTTATTTTGTTTCAACTGAGCCTGAGTAACTAGGGAAGATAATATTTATGTGAAAAGACAAAAGAACCCGGCAAGAATGTATTTTAATCTGGTATTTAAAAACTGCTGACTGTTTTATCTCGAGAGGGTGGAAGAGCCAGTGTTAGCTGAGTGTCAGTATATAAATAACTTGGGGGGAAAGCACAATAACTTTGTTCAGCAGAAAACTGAGTCAAGTGAAAAAGGAGGAGAAAAAAAGATTTTCCCCTATTAGAGAAGAGGCTCTGGTTTCATTCTAAATTTTGTTTTTGTCTTAACAAGCGAAAAAGTAGTCTATCTCTTCTCTAATTTAGGGGAAAAGCAGCTTGTTACTACTCCCCCAGGCAGCTGTGAAGGAGACAGTGTCCAGCTCCTTGGCGTAATGTGTAATGTGGGGAAGCCAGCCTCCCACGATCGCCAGCTGAAAATCCCCACCGCTGAGAGCCGTGAGCCTTCCGTTATCAGAGGGGGATTCATTAAAAAGAAACAACCCCTTACCTTGGTGCCTTCCTCTTTTGGTTAGTTCCTGGAATTTGATTCAATTTAGCTGGTATTGAAGCACCCGCTAAATGTCTAGGCCTGACTCTCTGACTAACCATTTCAGCTCACTTTTCTATCCAGGCTTTGAAAATTCAGTGATGTTAGTGGTTACCCAAACAAGGACCTCAAGTATCCTGGGGTGTCCCAGAATGAAGCTGTGATGAAAATCAGTCGTGTATCCACGGACTAAAAGTTTGCCAGACCACAAAACTTCTGTAGGTACCCTTTTAGAAAAACCACCACCAGCAGCAGACAGGTGGCAAAAAAGATGAAAATGATCCTGTTTTATTTACTTTTTGCCAGGTTCAAACTGTTACTATCTTGGGCAAGTAGTGATTTTCGTTGCTGGCTTTGTCTGTAGGTTTCAGACCCTGCGGCTGCTGCTTTCGGCAACTCATCTTAAGTTGACAAAAGTCAGGCAGGTGGTTTTTCTTTATTTCTGTAAAATTTCTTTGAGAACAGCAAAAATGCTGTTAAAGGGAAATATAAAAAATGAGAATCTGCATGAGAAAGGGTGATTCTGTGCCACGGTTCTTTAACTCTTTGCAAGTTTTTACCCACATGTAATATTACCAAAGCCAGGCAGAGCCGAGCTAGCGGGAGATGTGAAATCAGATAGCTCATTATTGCCGAGAGCTAGGCAGCTTTGATCTCCAATTGTTATTGCTTTCATTATTATTGTAACGGAACTGCTTTTTTTTTTTGTAGTGAAGAGGGTTTTTTTCCCTTTATGTTTTTATAAGCTAGTATAAATGAAGGAAAAGTATTTGTCTTCTCTGGGTCGTAGGCCTTGCTCACTGTACACAGGGAAACACCCTAAGCTTTCTGTGTCCTCGAATCTATGGTCAGTGAACATGTGTTTCAAGCCACGGGTCATTCTTACCTGTGTTTCTGCAGCACACGTGCTGCCTTTTATCCTCACCTGATACATCCATGTAGCAATCTGCCACGCAGCCGGATGTGAGATGTTGGGACAGTGATAACTTCTGTTGAACATGGCAGTTTATCCTGCTGGGTGGGAAAAGTTGAAAATATGCTGGTTCAAGGTCTAGAGTCAAGTGGTCATTAATTCTTGTAGCATTAATGAAATATTTTTTTTAAAAATGTCCAGGGGGTGGCATTGAATGTATCTCCGAGAGCTCTTGGCTCTCATGGAGCCTCGCCCCTGGGTTTGTTCACCAGACGCTGGGCTCACACTGGGTCTCCCCGGTTTCCGTGCTGTCCCGGAGGGAAGGAAACGCCATTTCAAGGTGTGGAATCTGCGGTGGGAGCCCACCTGTGCTGACTGGGAGTGGTCATGGTTTGTGGGTTTCCTGCAGAATGTTCAGGAATGCCTCACCCAACTGCTTTGGTGCTAAGCCTCATGGAAGGCAGTTAAGACTGACCCAGTTGGGGAGGAGTCGGACACGCAGCTTCAAGTGAAGTTGGTGAGAAATTTATCTTAATTTGGAGAAGCAAGGCCAACCGGTGGCCCTTCGGAGCGTGAGCACTGAACCTGGCTTTCCCAGGCGGCAGCCGGCAGTGGGGCCATTGTGGGGAGTTCGGGCCAGCTGGCTAGGGTTCTGTGCCAGACGCTCCTGAACGTCCCCTAAAGCTCCTTCCAGCATCATGTCCTCGGTGTGGCCTGGCGCCAGCCAGTTTCTATGGCAACCTTAATGATTATTAAGGAACATTGTCAGTTTTATAACATATGCTAAACAAAGATCTACTTTAGAAGGAAAGGATTGGAACAGCATGTCGCAGGGCTGTTAATTAATGGAGAAACCATATTTGGATGGAGAGCGCACATCTGTTAAATAGAATACCTCAACTTTACATTGTTGTTTTTTTTTTGTAGAGAAATAATAGTTTTTTGTTTTTATTTTTTTACCTAATTACCTGAAAGCAAATCCCAAAGGCTGATGTCTGTATATGGGGCGAAAGGGTCAGTATGGTATATTTTTCAATGTTTTTCTCTTTTTACCAGCTACTTTGCATTTAAAGTGAAAATTGTAAATGTTTGAAATAAATACTTTCTAAAAATACACTTGAGAGATAATGATGTTTTGGGTACCTGGGTCATTTAAGAAAAGACATGCGTGATTGCTGAGTGGACAGGAGTGAGGAAAGACGGGGTTTAAAATTAGGTAGGACCATTTCGGGGTGGGCTTCCCCTTAACGCGCCATTAAATTACCTCTGGAAAAGATCAGATAAGTTTAAGAAATAAGCAGCCGTTTCTCCAAAGACTGTAATTATGAAAATATTTCCCAAAATGAGTCCTGGGGTTTCTGGAAGGGGTGGGGTGCTTCTGTCACGTTTACCATCATTACCAGGTGATGGACGTGTGGGGAAGGAAAAGGGTCATTCACCCAAAGACTGTTTATTGGACAGGGGGTGTTCATGGTCTCACAAAGCAACTCTGCATCCCTGATCGTCAGATAGGCTGACTCCGTCCCCTATTGAAATGGGTCTTAGGTAGGAGAAACTTGGGACAAAGCCATCCCACATCTTCCAAACAGAGGAAAGCCGTCGTGTGGATGCTTTGTGGATAAGAGTTGCCGTGTAAACAGTTCAGGGCTGGGGAGGATGAAACTGCAGGGAAGCCTGGAAATTGTGTAACTCAGACCGAAAGTTGAAGTGTGGGGCCCCGCCGTGCGGCCCCCTGCCTGAGAGTCAGGCAAGCCGCAGGGCCGCACCTGTAGGAGCCACCGGCTCCTTGAGGACACCGCGACCTCTTTTGAGGTTGGTCTCTGTCTTGCAGAAAGCAACACAGGAAGCAGATGTTCCCCAGGGTGGCTAGGCTGTGTGGGCTGCACAGAGGAGGTGCAGGAGTGGGCACAAGGAGCAGGAGATGGAAGGCAGTGCCTCCCTCTTCGCAGCATCACTGTTAGGATGACATGGTTATGACGCTCTTTCCAAAAGAATTTGGGAGAGCAGATGGTGATTCTTGTAGAAGACGGCAAGGAACACTCAGTTATTGGAACAGCCACTTAGGAGAGCATTTTCCTTATTATTGAGGCACAAGGAGACCAAACCTTTCTCGGTATGTGTGAGAAGTGCAGGTCAGAGGCAGGAATCTATTTGCCATCCTGCAGTAGCAGAAGTGTGTTGTTGAAAGGCCTTAAACTGCTCCCACGCAGCACTGCTGTGTGCAAGGCCTGGGCTGGGGGCTCGGGGCGATTCTCAGGCAATCGTGAGCAATGACAGCAAGGCCTGCACCGTCCTTCAAATTCTGACCAACTTCTAATGTCTTTATGAAGGTCCTTGTCTCCTGTAGGTGTATGTCATTTAAAAAAACAAAACACCTCAGCCATGTCCTATTTCTTTTGTATGTGTGTGTGTGTTTGTCTTTTTTGAGGAAGATTAGCCCTGAGTTAACATCCACTGCCAATCCTCCTTTTTTTTGCTGAGGAAGACTGGCCCTGAGCTAACATCCATGCCCACCTTCCTCTACTTTATATGTGGGACGCACCCAGGACCCGAACTGGAGAACCCCGGGCCGCCGAGAAGCAGAACGTGTGCACTTAACCTCTGTGCCACCGGGCCAGCCCCTGTCCTATTTCATGCCAATGGTTTTAGGTGACAATCCAAAACATGAATTAAATTTTTTCAGTAAAATCATGGAACACTCTGTGCTGGAGACCAGGGCTGGAGGAAAGGTTCTACAGCAACACGTTACTGTGGGGATTAATTGGGAAACAAAATCTGTGGGCAGCAAAGAGCTACACGATCAGCCCTACTGCTTACCCAGAAGTCCACTGTCCCTTTTAGGTAGAGAAAGTTTATTAAAATTAGCTAATAATAATGGCTACCGTTTATGGACCCTCCACTATGTGCTTTACAAACGGAACGTTCTTTCTCATCTTAATGATTCTGCAAGGTAAGTGCTTTCACCTATTTACAGATGAAGCAACTGAGGCTTGTATTGGTGAAGATAGTGGTCCAAGATGCCCGAGCTAGTTGAGAGGCTGAACTAGACCCCAAACCTGGGTCTGCCTGATTCCAAGGCTGGCGCCTCTTTGCCCTCTCCATGTGGCCCCTCAGCCACTGGTGACTGCCTGGATGGGCCTCTCTTTCCAAGTCCTTTCCCAGGCCAGGTGCCCCCACTCTGTGCTGGGTGGGGCCCTTGCCCAGTCACTCCTGAAGGGAGATGGACCTGGGTTCCTCATTTGGCTGTCAGTGTGAGCAGGGGCTGGAAGCTGAGCCCAGGGGAGCCTGAGCCCATAAACAAAGGCATGTCCCCGGGGCTCCCACAGGAGGCTCTGAGGCAGCCAGACCCCAGTACCCGCTCATATAATAGGCAGCCACAAAGAAGATGAGTCACACGAGGGGAGGGGCAGCAACCAGTTCCTCACCCTCAGTGATCCTTGATCAGAAACCAGATCAAACCAGTTCCCCTCTATCTGTGTGGGCCCATACCTCTGAACTCTGCGTGAATGATTTGGTTTTCTCCTGTTGCTTTCTTGGTATACACTTCAACAAACCTCCTCGGAATCGTCAAATCGTGCTTTATTTATGGAGTGGAAACGTGCTTTATTTCATTCCGTCCACTCCTCTGAAAGGATGAATGGTCACCGCACTGTAAGTGGTGGTTCTCTCTGGGCGGTGAGATGCATTCAAGGAGTCTTTACTGGGGCTGGCCTCGTGGCCAAGTGGATAAGTTCACGCACTCCGCTTCAGTGGCCCAGGGTTTCGCTGGTTTGGATCCTGGGTGCAGGCACGGCACCACTCAACAGGCCATGCTGAGGCGGCATCCCACATGCCACAACTAGAAGGACCCACAACTAAAAATACACAACTATGTACTGGGGGGCTTTGGGGAGGAAAAAGAAAAATAAAATCTTAAAAAAAAAATTAGCAAAAAAAAAAAAGGAAAAACTGAACCGCTGTGCTGGCTGCGGGGGTACCAGAGGAACCCATCCCTCCTGCAAGACGCTGGCAGTCCACCCAGCGAGCTACACAATTAACAAGCAAATGCTGTCTCTGGGAGCAAATGACTAAGGGGGTCTTGGGAGTCGTGGAAGGAAGGGGTAGAAATATGGAAATGGAGAGTGAGGATGGAGGAAGAAGTTTCCAGGCGGAGAGTGGCTGCACACGGAGAGGCTTGCCAAGGGCTGTAGGTGAAGGGCAGGGTGGGGAGGGGGAGGGATGGGGGAGGCGTGCCTCGGACACGGACTATGTCAAGCAATTTTTCGATATTCTAAGAGCATTAGGAAGTCACTGAAGACCAGATTCGTTCCTTTTTTTTTTTTTGAGGAAGATTAGCTCTGAGCTAACCTCTGCTGCCAATCCTCCTTTTTTTTTTTTTTTTTTTTGCTGAGGAAGACTGGCCCTGAGCTAACATTCCTGCCCATCTTCCTCTACTTTATATGTGGGACGCCTACCACAGCGTGGCTATTGCCAAGCGGTGCTATGTCCGCACCTGGGATCTGAACTGGTGAACCCCGGGCTGCTGAAGTGGAATGTGCAAACTTAACCACCGTGCCACTGGGCTGGCCCCTATTCCTTCCTTTTTTTTCCCTTCTTTTTTTTTATGCATAGTATTTAAACATTTTTCATAAGCTTGTATGTTTTATAATTAAAGAAAACTTTTCATTAAACAATGATAATCTCTCTATTTGAGAATAGTTCAACCACATTGTACTGCCTATGAAATATTGGTCATTGAAAAGTGCAAGAAGGGGCCAGCACTGCGGTGTAGTGGTTAAGTCCGTGCACTCCGCTTCAGCAGCCCAGTTTCAATGGTTCGGATCCCCGGCACAGACCTATACCACTCATCAGCGGCCATGCTGTGGTGGCATCCCACATACAAAATAGAGGAAGATTGGCACAGATGTTAACTCAGGGCGAATCTTCCTCAAAAAAAAAAGTGCAAGAAATACGTGAGGATCATAGATAAACAAAATTGGCTATAAGACAGTAATTGTTGAAGCTGGGTGATGGGTACAGAATGGTTCATTAATCTTTAAAAAACCTCGACATTCTCCATTTCAAAAAGTGCAAGGATTTTAGGGGGAATGTTCCACTTGCAAACGTACCATTTAAAATAATACAAAATGAATATAAACACATCTTTCTTGACTCTCCTTTAATGTAAACCATGATTCTCACTTGTCAACAACACACTGGTTGATACCTTGATAAACAAATTGGCTTTCATAAGCACAACATGCGATATGTCTTTCCCTCAATCCAAACTAGTGATCCTGTTTATTTATGCACATAAATCAGAAGGCAATCTGAATCATTAAAAAACGTCATGTAGGAAGCATTTTGTTTGAATTAAGATGATACAGCGACTCATCCTACATGATTCACAATGTGAGGGAAGTAATTCTGGTGCTATTTGTGGGTTTTGGAAACGATCCTCCACGTGTCTCAGAGTGACTCTCCTCACTATATAATCGTGCTTTGATTATCAGAGCTTCAATTGTCTCTCCGGACTTCAACCACCAGGATCCATGGGTGGAGCCTCTCCCAAGCAGGGGAAAGGGTGCCTAGGCCCATAGACAAGACCTGCCAGACCCAGCACAAGGTTGTCCTGCTGGTGGGGATGGATACCTCAAACCTAATTCCTATTTCCCCCTGCCCCGAGTCCATGAGGCTCATCTATGGGGAGAGAACACGTTGGTCACACACGGCAGCCTAGATATGTGTAAAAGACACATATAAAATTTGCCGTCTTAACCATTTCTAAGAGTACAGTTGAGTGGTGGTAAGTATATTCACACTGTTGTGTAAGCAACGTCTAGAACATTTTCATCTTACAAAACTGAAATCTGTACCCATTAAACAACAACTCCCCATTCCTCCCTCCCCCCCAGGCCCTGGCGACCACCATTCTGCTCTCTGTTTCTATAAATTTGCCTACTCTAGGTGCCTCATCGAAGTGGGATTGTACAGTATTTGTCTTTTTGAGACTGGCTCACTTCACTTAGCATAACGTGCTCTAGGTTCATCCATCTTGCAGCATGTGTTGGAATTTCCTTCTTTCTTACGGCTGAATAATATCCCATTGTATCTTATTACCACATTTTGTTTACCCATTCATCCGTCCATGAACATTTGGGTTGCTTCCACTCAGCTATTGTAAATGTTTTCTTTCTAAACTTTACTTTTCACGTGCTAACTAAAACCAGGCAGCTAGACTATTCCTCCTCGCCCCACCAGTCTGACCAACTACATCCTTCGAATGTGAAGAACTCTGCGGGGCGGTAGACTCTCTCAGAGGGAAAGTACAGGTACAGCAATTATGAGCCGCTCGAGAATTAGACCTGAGCTGCAGGCCGGGCTCTGCCACTATGTGCCTGACCCAGGACAAGTCATTTGATTGTTTCTAGTTCCAGTGTCCTTATCTGAAAAACGAGGCCATCGCCTGGCTCACTGCATTGTAGATTAAGACAAGATACGGTAGCAGAGAAAGCATGTGTTCAGCGGCACACCTGGCGCACAGCGAGAGCCTGTTCTCATTACTTACGCCTTGGCCTTTCACAGGGTCAGAATCCTGGGCTTGTGAAAACATGTGTTCACCCTGAATTCTGAAAACTATTAGTCAATTCCTCGGGGGCGGGGCGTGGAGCAAACATTTCTCAATGCAAACTTCCCTTTCTGTTAACACAGATGGAGAAAAAACAATAGGCACTTGTACCACCTGGTGGCAATTTATATAAATGTTCAATGGAAATTAAACACTTGTCACCCAAGGACTCCACACTATACCCTTCTTCGAGAACCTCAAATGAATTTATTTGCGCATTTCTAAATAGTATCTTCCAACGTCGGTTTTCAGCCATAGCTGGGTATCAAAATCGCCTGGGAGAGGTTTAAAAAAAAAAATACAGACTTCAAGCTTCACAACAGACTCAAGAGTCAACTCCCGGGGATGGGATGGGGGTGTCTGTATGAACAATAAACAACAATCAAAACAAAGAGCCACAACCCCGAACACTAGTCAGGGCCCAGGACAAACGTGACAACTGTCTACTCAGCTAGAGGACGGCTGAGGGAACAGAAGAGTAAAACTTCACTGTGTTACTTTTTTATTTGGGAAGGAAAATGTTAATAGAAGAGCTCTAAAGGTGAACTGAGCAAAAAAGTTGAGATCAGGCCTCCTGGTTATGTTCAATCGTGGTTTGTTGATAGACTTCATTAAGAATGATTGCAAATGAGACCGTGACCCTCTCCCCTATGGCTCTTAGCTCAGGAAGTTTTTTTTTTTTAATCAAGGGAGGTGATTCTCAAAACTAACTGAATCAAGCAAAAACACTGATTTTCTTGGAATAATGTTTATTTAAAGTTACATTTCAGAGTAAACCATCTTCAGGAGGGCATGCAGCTTTTATTGGCTACTGCAATACATTCAGAAATTTTATAAAATTTTTCGGATATAATATAAATTACCAAAGCATTACAGATAGGCATCTGTATTACATACAATCTTCAAATATTTTCAGAAGTTAGAACTATGTATTAGTTGATATTTAAAGTGTGAAAGACCCCTGACAAAATAACTAGCACATTCATGAAAATACAATTTACGAGTCTAAACGACACAATCCAGCTGTAGTCCAGGGGCCTCGTGACAACAGGTGTATTAGGTTGCAAATCATCCTTTCCGCAGGAAAGTAGAGATTTCAAGATGGCAACTGCTGTGTCGTCAGTTTTCCTCCACTATGGACTCTATAGAAATCCTTTAGAAAACCCTACCCTAAACGTGCTGGTTGTTTTCCTGCTGCGGTTCACTCTCTTTCCATTAGATGGCAGTAACACACCATCTCTTTCTTTCTCAGGGCCAGAAATTAAGGACGATAAATGAAGGCCCACTGCAGGCCAAGTCTCTCTATGTCCAAGTTAATGGGGTATGAAAATTGGAGACGAGAATAAAAAAGGATTCTAAAGAGATCCTGAGGCCAAAATAGTGCTGGCCATGGCAAATAAGAAAGAGACAACTCATGAATGAGAGACATCCATGAGAGAAGTATTAAAGAAATTCTGCTAAACACTAAAAGGATGCAGACAAGAAGGGAAATGAAATCTAGACATCCTGGCTTTTTTCCCCCTAGACTGAAGGAAAAAATGAGGCATTAACTTTTGACTGAAAAAGGATATTTTAATAGAATAGAAAGGCTACCCTCGTTTAAAAAGCAATTGAAGAATGTCTCAAATGCTCAGTTCTTCTGAACATTAAGATTTAGTCACTCAAAATGGCCATTAACAGAGTAATAACATAGTTAAATAATCCAATCAACTAATCAGGACTATTTTCCCACCTGTCTCAAAACCTTCTGGCTGTCCCACAGACGATCTGCCCACCTCCCCATCCTGTGGCCAAGGCCAATAAATGAAAACCAATTCGGCAAATTATGGAGACTTCAAACAGCTAAGAATAAAGACCCTTTTTATAAATGCTTCTTAAGAAAGTACTTTGGATAACTTAAAAGGACAAGTCTGTCCCCCCAGAGAGTAGGCATATCAATATTTATCTTTTTGTACACGTATTAACATTTCTCTATTATTTTATTCTTACTGATTTAAATACACATAACTCCAGTGGTTGAAATCCATCCTGATAGAAACAGCCATGATAGCAAAGTAAACAGAAACGTCCTTTTACCCTCTGTTCTTATAGGCCTGAAACGAACCAACTAAATAAACTCATCTAGTAACGTGGAGCAGAGCAGTTTTTAAAAAGGAGGTGTGATAAAGGAAAAAGAACACAGGTGCAGGAAACTCCATGGATGCTGAATTCAAGGCAAGTGAGTACAAATTTGCTAGAAGACGTTATTCTCTCCAGAATCAGAAAATATTCTGGGAGACAGAACTAACTCACAGGAATGAAGTCTACAGGAAAATACTTTGTATTAAGACAAAATGACAAAAAGCCCAAGCATTCAGAGCTCAGAGAGGAAACATGTCATGCGGCTTCAGATCAGCTGGCCCAGGAGGCCTAACAAGGAAGCCATTGGGGCACCCGCTGGGCCTAATTGTTTTAGAACATGTGGTACTTTGTGCCACCACCCAGCTGTGAATTCCCTGGTTTTTGTCAGCTTGTGTCACAACCTAAAGAAGAAAATAGTAGCTTAACCCTCCTTCTACTAATTTACCATATTTCTTCTTCTTATAACCTCCTGTACAATGGTGAAGGGACTGGACTATATATAAACTCCACATTTCCTCCACTTTTAATTATATAAAGAAAATAGCATGACTGTCACAGAAACACAGTACAGAAAAAGCACAATACTGAACATATGATAGAAGCTCAATAAATACTTAATGTATCAGATCTGTTTTCAAAATGTTATTTCGTTATACATTCATCACAGTTGCTGGGTATGGGCCAAAAATCATTTAGTGCACAAAGAAAAATTTTACAAAGCTTTCAGCATTTATTAAAATTAGGATAATTGCTGTATTTCCTTTGTAGAATAAATTTAAGTAAAAAATAAGGTTTAATTTCTAGAATGTTGAACTAAAATAAGTAACAATGAATTATTTGTATATGTAAGATAATAAATATTTGTTGAATGGAATTGGAACTATGGATGCTAAAAATTTTTAAAAATCTTGTACTAAAGATATAGTACATGAACGAATACACATTTAAAAAATTCTATCAGTACTTAAAAGACAGAACACTCTATTAATAAAATCATTGAGATCCAGTGAGAAAAAGTTCCTTTCAAATTTTTTAAATCAAAGATCACACAACCCTTTGGTTAAGATCTTAACCAAATAAAAAAGCAAATATTTACTAAATCATAATAGTAAAATGAAAACTAAAGACTAGAAAGATATGTGTTCCTAAAAATTAACCCAATCAACATTTTTTTTGTGTATTCCAAAGAGGCTATAAAAGTTTTTTCATTTTTGACAGTCAGCACATTTGCATCTGGACCAGTTTTGAGAAGCAAATGACAAACCCTGATCACAGAAACATCTGCTTGGCTGCGTTTATAGGGCCACTCACCGTAGTCATCTTCTCACAGTACACCATTCCCACATTTTGTTTTTTTTTTTTCACAGTAAGTAAATTGGTGATATCAGTTCATGATAAATCATAAAGATAACAATACTATGAATATTAATTTAATCTCTTAAGCAATAGTAGTTAGAGAAAACCTCAAAGTCTTTTAAAAATATTTTTCTATAGTGCGAACTGGTCTGCTTTGTACAGCAGGAGAGAAACTTTGCAGGCTTTAGAGACCCAGTTCAGACAATGAGATCCGAGAGTTATACATATATATATATATTTTAATTTACTCTAAAAATACATAGCAAATCTAATTTTAGGGACAAAAATAAAAAAATGATTCCATGACAACTAAAAGGCACAAAGATGACACAAAAGATATCTGAGGTCCTGTATAATTATCCAGTAAGAAAACAGCTGTTGGGCTTTGTAAATTTTCAGATTTTTAAAAAATCAGAAATGAAATCTGTGTTGTATATTTTATTCTATAATTCAGAACTATAATACTGATGCCAACGCTTAATTCTATGGGTGATTCTGAAATCAGCGGCATCTTCCTTCCTATTTATGCTTATACTACTAATTTGCTGGAAAATGATGAAAACGTCCACAGAGATTGAGAAAATACACACTTTCTTACACGGCTGACCAATAAAATAATCCTTTTGCCAGACCCCAAAGTTGTGAATTTTCATGGGCTCTAGAGCTGAACTAGGACACTTGAGAGAGAAAGATAGCTTTTCCCAAGGTGCCCACTATTCCCCTATTTTCCACTGTTCTTCCATTTCCCCAAGAAGGGGTCCAACATTACATGCTCTTCTGGTCCACACCATCATTTTTTTTGTCATCTTATGTAAAAGTCAAGTGACTTTTTGTTGGTTTGTTTGGAGACCAGGTATTACGGGTAACAACTAGCACACTTCTAGAGAACTTGAATGTTCCTGAACTCCTGACTTACCTTTTCTGAAGGTCACACCCCAAAGAGAACACCCCACTCCAGAGAGTGGAGGCAACAGCTAAGTTATGATTTCTTACGTAGAGTTCTACGTAAGAACAGAGCACAGAGTAAAGGGACAGGTTAGTAACCAGGTGTCATGGAACGGATTCAAGGCCAAAGACTTTTTGACCTCTAAATGCAGACTCCCACTTCCTACCAATTATTAAGGCGCAGTCCAGCCTTGTCCCCTGAGATGCCGGTTGCGGGCTGATGTCCTCTTCGGCGTGAGAGGCCTGGCCGGGGTGTTTGGTGGCTGAACCTTAATGCACCTTGCTGTGCACAGGGTAGAGCAAGGTCATGTGTTCTGCCCCCTTGAAAGGCAACTTCTCGTTGGAATAATAGTGTACCACCTCAGGGATGCTGTCAAAGACAGCGCTCGTCTGATTCAGCGTGTACTTGTTGTCTTTGGTCTGCGCCACTATGATGTGGACACATCCTTGACTAGTCCTGGAGCAAGACAAAAATCGAGGAGGAGACATGAATGAGCGGGCAGGGGGATCCCTCCCCACTGAAAACCATCCCAGCCGGATTCACAGGCCCATAGGTTCTCCTCCATGCCTGGAACTGTTATATACACACTGAAACGCACTCAACATACCAGGGGAACTCTCAGGAGCTTCCCAGCCCTGGGCGAAACGTGTCTCATCCTTGAGTTGTTTATCTTCAATGCACACAAGTCATCAGGTACAGGACCAAAACCAAAACCAAACCAAACCAAAAGCCAAGTCCCTCCAGGGCCCCCAAATTGCCAAGCTGGCGGTGAGGCCCAACTGTGAGGCCACTGAGGTGAGGTTTACTCTTACCCTCTCCACCACCACGAAAGGACATGTGTTAGGTTTCCTCCCCAAAGAACACATTAATAATAATAATAAAAAAAACGCTTCCTCCTCTCCTCCCTCATCTGGAAAGACTGCTGCTGGTTGTACATAATGACAGCTGGCACCGAAGGCTCGAAGATCTAATCCCCGAGCACCAGTTTCAGGAACACAGCAAAGCTATTCCTGGTATTGTATATCTGGTGGCCTGTCCCGTTTTCTGAGCCATATTGCTGAGACACTCCCCCCGCCCTCCACACCCGCCCCAACCTCTTTTCCCCTCCAGTCTGATTGTTTCAGCTGCAGGGGCTCAGCTTCCTCAGGAAGGAAACGCTGTTAGGGCTCCTGACAATGATCCTCCAATATAGCAGCACTGAACTCGCAAAGCAACGAGAATTTCCATGATACAAACTCCACCAGGCCTACCGGGCAGAAATGAATGTTCTGTGTACAAGCAGACAGGGGGAGGAACGGCAAGTCAGCGTTTCCGTCTTCACAGAAGAAACTGGCATCAAAATTGCAGTTGGCATTTTGACAATCAAGGGATCTGATTTATTAAAGTCCCAAATGCTAGGGAATGAAAGAAGAATGACCAAACTATCCTGACAGAAATTATTCTTTTTATCAGGAATTATTTCTCCACTGAGAGGACCTACTTTAGGTCAGGCGATGGACAATGATAATGAAAAGAAGATCCTCATTATCAGAGGAGACATGGGGGCATGAACCCAACATGGATTTTGCATTCTAACCAGAGCATTTCATGTTGCGTTGCCCAAGCACAAGCATCTTACTTCCTAGCACTACACGCCCCTGTGAACCACCTTTGAATTGTATCTTTGTTGACTGGTAATCTACCCAGGACAGGAAAGACCATCATGGTGCACCCCACTCCTGCATCCACAAAGGGAGAGCCCACAAGCCCACGAGGCTTCAACACTCACTTTAGTGCAATGGAGTACCTACTGGTCCCCGACTCGCTATTTCGAACCAGGTAACCAGCTTCTTTGCAGGGCTGTAGTCGACTCTCGGCCTCAGCACGGGTGATGGCACCATGATACCACCTGCAAAAAGGGGTGGGGGGAGATAGCACAGTGTCAAAATACAAATCCAGACCGGGCCTCATTCCATAAAGCGCGATCTGAAATGAACTTCTGGGGGAAGCTCAACAGCCGAGCTAGATCCTGCTTCACACTCAGAACAGATGAAATGAGATTTGGGTAATCCTGGATCACCAAACCTATCAGTCATGCAAGAGGGAGTTGACAGGGCTACTATTATTTTAGAAGTTTTCACTTTATACAGGAGAATGAAATTTGCAATCAAGTTCTTGGGATGCAGTGTACTTCCCATTCTGCAAAAATGCACTGGGCTTTGAAAACTGGTTCTCATTAATAAGCCCCATCCAGACAAGTACTCGTGAACAAAAATAATCACGTAAAAAGGGGCCTGTGTGTCCTCTCCAAGGGTACCAACAAGCTCCCAGCCATCATGCATTGCTGTGTTCATGGAGGAGACTCACGGCTGCTTCTCCAGCGGCAGGGCTGGGTCCACTCTTTCACCCTCGCTGTGCTCAGACAGGGCCGGCTTCAGGATCTTCTGGGTCCAGCTCTTCTGTCGGTGGTGCTGCCTCACGGTCTCCTCCTTGATGCCAGGTCGCTCAGAGCCTTCAAACTGAACTGGAAGGAAGCCTCCATTTAACGTCAGAGGCCACCGAGGTGACCCATGAAAACTTCAGAGAAAAAGCCTCCTTGACTGCCTCAGCTCAGGGAAGCAGCTTTTCCCCTCTAACATGAGCTAACATATGCTGCAAATACCCCGGGATGGCTGAGCTTCTGCTGTCTCTGATATCTGATCACACTGCGTGCGAGCATCCACATACAGCTACTTTTTCTGCAAGATATTCATCAGCGTAAAACAGTTTTAGAATAAGAGAGGAAACCACTTTACTATATCTCAGCATGTCCTTCAAAAGAACAGTATATTTAGAGTAAATGACTAAACATAGTCACAGGTAATGATTCTGTGCAAAAGTGTGTATCATTCTACAAAACCAAATGATGAGTTCTTACTATGAAATAATAAAACAAAAAGAAAAATCAATTCAGAAACAGAAACTGCTGAATAGTGCCTTTAAAGATGCTATGACATCGAGGCTGGAGAGAAGATAAATAGAGAAAACGAGCAGCACGCAGCACCATAGCTGGTGCCCAAGAGAGACTTGTGGAAAACAGGACTAAAGTAAAACAAAAGCTAACTCAAACGTTTGCTATCAAATATATTACCTTCTCTACTCACCCTTTACCTTGGTTATACTTTTAATCACAAACTGGGCTTTCCTGATGGAGGGAGAAGACATCCCTAACTTTTTAAATTAAAAGCAGAAGAATTTATGGCCAGCCAAGTAGAAAAACTATGTTCTGAGAAAAGCAGGAGGGAGAATTACCTTTAATATCTACTGACAACCTACTTACCAACTTTCTCTTAAGTTATTTCAAAAATTCACACTTGAAGAATTAATTCCTCTAGGAGGATTTTTTTACCAAAAAAAAAAAAAAGCTAGCTTCATCCAGCTTTCCAACCACCTGTCTGTAATCTCTTTGCTTCACCACTGCCATTTTATAAATAGGGGTTTTAACAGGTTTGAAGAGTAGCACCAAGTAAGTGTTAGAGCTGCTCCCTATTGGATAGCTTCAGCCATGATCAGATAAGGTTTTTCAATAGTTATTTAAGGCATTTCCCAAACAGCAGCACACTGCCAAGATAAAGGGAAATAAAGATGCCCAGAAGGTTAAAAGATAAATGCAACGCTAAGGGCTCTTCTTCAGTCCTGGGCTTCCAACCACAGGCAAATTCTTGTCTCCCGTTATCAAATTCCTTGGGAAAAGAGACTTGCAGTTGAGGAACAGAAAGCAAATCTCCTGGGCAGAAAGGCTGGAGTGGGCGGGGCTGCCCAGCAGGGGAGCAGAGAGCGCCGCAGACCCACCCCTCACCTGACAGCGCCCGCACAATCTGCTCCTTCTTCCACTCCCAGGGCTGCTCATACTCGGCCGCAGGCCGCTCGTCGTCCTGGGGCAGCCGGCTGTGGCTGTGGCTCTCCGGAGGCCGCGACTTCCCCTCCGCCCGGGGGCCCCCCTCGGCTGGCTCGTAGGGGGTGTCGTACAGCTGCGGAGGCTTCCCCAGGAGATCCTTGGAGCTGCGTCTCTTGGCCAGCGCCTCGGATTTCATGCCGTTCTCCCCAGGCTCACAAGGGCTGTCGAGCAGCTGAAGAGCCTTCACCAGGGGATCTTTGGAACCCCGGCGTCTAATTTCTGAAACACACACACAAATAGCTTGAAGGAAGAGTGCCACGGAAGCCCAGTGATTAACGGAATTACCTCTTCACCTCTGACTGTCTGGTTGAAGGTGGCAGAGAATGAACACCGAGATTGTTCCCTAATGGGCTGATTACTTCGGAAGGAGCCTACAACCTCTTCCCTCTAGCTGCCTGAGCCAGACAATGGGATCAAGCCCTAGCAGCCGGGATCACATCTGAAGACAGGCGCCCCTCTGGGGGCCACTTGCAGTTTGTGACAAAAGAAGTGGCCACAGGCAACCTGTTCCATGATTCCTGGTCCCTGTGTATCCTCTGAGTCTAGTTCACCTTCCAAGTTTCTATATCTTGTTAGGGAGCTGAGATCAAAGTATTTTAATAAAAATCAACTGAGTGTTTACTATGTTCAAAGCACTGGGCCACATACACTGAGGAAAGTATTTACGTGCATTAGACAGAGTTCTTGACTTCCAGGTGGTTTTAATACAGTGGCAGAAGCTGGTACATTCACAAATAATACGTAACAGGCTAATAATTGCAGGATAAATGAAAGTAAAAGAGCAGTTATGGAGGAAAAACACCAACAACGATAACTCAACAGCTACAGGTGTAATATGTATTATGCAGTATTCTAAGTGTGTTGTAAGTTTCACAACTACCTGTTGAGATGGGTACCACTATTTCCCCAATATTACACAAGAGAAAACTGAAGCACAAAGAGTTTAAGGAAGTCACCCAAACCAGTAAGTGGCAAAGCCTGGATTCAAAGCAGGAAGTTGGGCTCTAGAAGCCATACTCATAACCACTACACTTGGACTGACTCCAAGTGGAAGAGAAATGGAAGATGAGTTGACTTTGATAGAGAGGGTCATTTCCAGTGGAGGAAGCTGCATGAGTGAAGATATGGAGGTGGGAACCATAAAGGGCTTTTTCCCATAAGGGGGAGCTGAGCGATAAGTTCAGAGGACAGAAGGCCAGGCGAGGAAAGAGGTAGTGGGAGAAGAAGCTGGAAAAATAGGCAGGACAGGCATCAAAGTGTAGAAGTCTGAAAAGCAAGGATAAAAAGATGAGATTGTTCCCTAGGCAATGGAGAACCATTCTAAGTTTTTTAACAGGTAATAACAATTTGTGCTTTGTTGGAAGATAACTCCAACCACAGTGTACAGGATGGAATAGGTCAGAAAGATATAGTTTGAACTGAGGCATAGAAATGGATGTAAAAACTTGATGCAAATCAACCAGCCATCAGCCAACCAGCCAGCCAGCTGGGTGGGAAGGAACCAGCAGTGACTCGGGACTGAGCAGCTTGCAGCCCAGAGGCCTTAGCAGTGGAGTTAGAGATGACTAGGCTGGACAACCAGAGCTGGTGATATAGACCCAGAGCTGCATCATGTTGTGGTTCTTCTAAATGCCCATCAGGAAGCCTTCAATCTGCCACCTGGGCATAGTCAAGGAGGATTTTTCTAAATGCAAACATCTCATCTTATCATGTATCACCCCGTGAGTTCTCAACTGTCTAGTTACAAAGTGAAAACTGCTCAGCATGGCATCACACACCTCTTATGACCAGATCGCTGTCTCCCTCTCCAATTTCTTCTCTCGACATCACCCTGCCCCGTCCCCCTGCATCCCCCTGCAATCCAATTCTTTGTGCTAACCAAATGGAACTTCGGAAGTTCCCTGAGCACTACACTGTCCTATGCCCACCAGTGTCCTGGTGATCTTCCAATCCTTTGAAATCTAACCCAGCATCTCCTCCTTGTCCCTGCCCACCTTCTCCTCCAATGACCCACCTCTTCCAGGTGCCACCGCCTTGATAATCCACTCTCACCTTGCACTTCGCCCACTGTATGGATTGATTTGTTGATGTGTCTGTATTCGCAGGTTGGTGGAGACTGCCAGGGCAGAGACCACCATGTCCTGTTTATCCCTGTAGGACACACAGTTGTGCGATGGATAGATGGATGGAGGGAAAGGAGCTCTAGAATTTCTCCAGGTGGGTGACAATATGGATGTGGAGCTCAGCAGAGAGATGAAGGTCAGAGGTACACATCAAAGAGTTACAAATGGATCATTGTTAGTCCCGTGAGAATGAAGGTAATCACCAGAGGGAGGGTAGATTGAAAAGGAAAGCAGATCAAAGGCAGAGCCTGGAACTTCTTCAGTTAAGGGTGGATGGAAGAAGAGGTGCCAGCAAAGAAGGCTGAGAAGTGGTCAGCTCAGGAGGAAGGGGAGCAAAGAGGGCAGAGCTGAAGAAACAAGGGAAAACCAGACTATCCATAGGAAACTTCAAATGGGCATGGGGACACTCTGTGGAGCAGAACCACTGACTCAATAAGACTTCTCTCATGAGGACAGGACAACAAGCAAGACACGCAAGGGAAAAGTTATTAAAATCAGGACACTAAATTCAAAAGGGCAAATTTATTTAGGCTATAGTTCTGCTGGATAGCCAGGCTGACTGCAGCTGGCTCCAATCCTATATACATAGACACACATAACCACAGTACTAGCTCACTGGAATCATCTGGGGGAGCTTTCGCACACACGATGCCTGGGCCCCATCACTAGAGGCCCTGATTTCATTGGTCTGGGGTACGGCCTGGGAGTTAGAGTTGAAAAAGGCCCCCCAGGTGATTCTCACAGGGAGATAAACCTGAGAAGCACGTCCACACCTCCTGGGTGTGGGGTCCCCATCTCAGTTCCCCCTGATCTCCAGAGCTAATCTCATCTCGAGCCCCATCGCAAGGAGAAGGGTCCTCCTTGTATCTGACACCTCCACACCAGCACGTGAGAGCTAGAAGCCAGGAGAGGCCCCAGGGCTGGCTGAAGCCTCCTGCATTGCCAGTCCCCGCCTCGTGACTTTCAATCTGACAGCTTTTTTTCTTCATTGCTTATTCTACATGGAGTTACGGAAAACAAGAAACAAAAACATACTCTGCTCTTGGTTCAATTAAGTTAACGCTGGAGTTTTTTAAGAGAACTTTTCTACAGAACTAAGAAAAAAGAAAGAGAAAACACAAAGGAATTCAAAGGATGAATTAGGACTTTGAAAATTTCTGATCAAAATCTCAGTTTACCCTCAGCTTAGACTGAGACAGACTGGGAAACCTTTCCAAGCTTCTGGCCTCAATTCTGTCCCAGTTAAACTAAACAGAAAAAGAGCTGATTCCAATATTAAGATACAAGGAGTCTCGTTCACAAGGAAATTTCAATAATTTGTGTTAAAATGATGTATAGTGATGAGAGTCTTGAGTTCTTATTACACATGCGTTTGAGTTTTTCCTTTTGAGATGAGGTCCTGGTGCTCCTTCTATTTTAGGCAGGCTGTGCAGGCTTACAGCTCTGGGAAAAACACTGGAAAGCATACAATTGAGACTGTTCCCTCTTGGGATGGTCCTGGGATTGGGCAAAATCTCAAAGAATTATCACCTTTTTAAACAATGTTTAATTAGGGGAAAAAATGGGCTTGAGCGGAGGGCCCCTCCGCCCCTTCAAGGGGAGTAACCTTCCAGTCCAGTCCAACACCTGGCTGCCCCCAACCTGAGGCGCCATAGAAACAGAAACAATCACGGGGCTGCAAGCCGACCCTTCCTGCAGGGAGAATAGCCCCTGACGTGCAGAGCTGGCTCGGAGAGGAAACGAGCCTGAGAAGGAGGAAATGGCGAGAGGAAGCTACGCCCTGGCTCTGCCGATAGAGGCCATTTACGCCGCAGACAACAGAATACAGCCAATGGGCTGCAGATAAACACCCATCAGCAGCGAGGGCTGAAGCTGAGGGCTGACCTGCACCAGTTCAAACGGGCAACTGGTTGGCGTGAAACATAATTTGGGCCCCCAATTTTCCCTTCTCAATCGTCAACGCTAGCTTACATAATTTGCCAGTTATATTTAAAAACATAGAAGATTTTCTTTGACTAAATTAATTGTAGCTAGCAATTAATATTCCTATTTATCCAGAATCCTCTTTGAAAATGGAATCCTCTCTCCAGAGTGTCTAAATAACGGCTATAATTATTGGGTATGCTTGTCCTAGGCATGTTATACTCAGCATCTCAGCGAAGCCTCATAATGTAGCAAGAGCGGTGTTATCCCATTTTCACAGGTGAATAAACTGAGGCCAGGCAGTCATTGGTGAGGCAGCCATTTACTGTTGGCTCCAGAGCCCAGGCAGTCTCTATCATACTTTACTTTATCCCCAAAGATTTCATCTAGAATGAATTATAATTTCTATAGTGCACCTTTCCCCCAATCCATTTCATGTTTTCAAAACTTTAAACTCAGAGCCTCATAAGGCTCTATTTTCCTCTTAGAATCAGAAATAGGGCTGTTAGGTAACTTTTTGGCTCACATATTTATTAGTGCTCAAGACTTTGATTTAAAATTAACATTTTTTATAGAACAAATCTAAATATCTAAACAAAAGCAGATACAATTCAGAAGCCTTGACATTTAAGTTTAATGAGGAAAGTATAGACAAATTAAATAAGTCAAAAAGTCTTCTATTTATATTTTTTCCATAATGGATAATTTTTTAAATGGAGACCCAAACAATGAGGGTCTCCTTTAGATTTGACTATTTAAACAAATAAAACCATTTGGAGGTAAAAATAAAAATTTAAAAACAACTGGACTTTGGACAAGTTATTGAAACTTTCTGAACCTTGGTTTCCTCATCTGTGAAACAGAGACTTCTAGAACCCACTTCACAGGGGTGTAGGATTTGGTGAGGCGACCTGGCAAGCTTGGCACCTTGTACACGCTCAACCTGTGTGATCCCAGCTGCAGAAAGAATTCTCATGTTGAGTGATGGCTGTCTTAGGAACGCCTAAAGACCCTTCCAACACTAAAGTTTTAATTTGGTGGCTAAAACTCATCATGCTAAATTATATATACTATTTCTGCTAATTATTTAGCTAAAATGTTCCTGTTAATTTAGCAGAACAAAACAAAGAGGTTTATACTAATATTGCCTTGTATTCATAGTCATATTTTTTTATGAACAATCCTTTGGATAAATCCAAGTGAGATTTACTCAGAAATTTATAAATTCTTAGCTTTTAAAAGTTAAGAGCAAGGTTTCGTGTGGGAGGGATCCAGGGAGCCTGGGTCCCACGGTTATGTGGCCATAGGAAAGCACTAAATGCCTCTTAATTTCTCTTTCTTCCTCTGTTCCTTGAGGCAGATGGCGATTCTTATTCTCTACTTCATGGCACTTACCACACTTTTCAATGACATACTTTCTTCTTCTCTATTCGTGTCAGGTGTGTTTGCCCCCTTGGGTTGTGAGGTCCATAAGGACATGGGTCATGTGGGTCTTGTTCCCTGGAGACCCGGGGCCCAGCACAGGGCCTGGTACATTGTAAATAAATGCCTAAGAAATATGTGTTGGATGTTATAAAATAACATCATGAACAGTGTTCTGTACATCCAAGATCTTGCTAAAATCAGGCATGTTATCCTCACTTGACAGGTATTAAAGAGGCAGGACAGGGACTGGCCCTGTGGCCGAGTGGTTAAGTTGGCGCGCTCCGCTTTGGCGGCCTGGAGTTTTGCTGGTTTGGATCCTGGGCGAGGACATGGCACTGCTCGTCAGGCCACATTGAGGCGGTGTCCCACATGCCACAGCTAGAAGGACCCACAACTAAAATATATACAACTATGTACTGGGGGGATTTGGGGAGAAAAAGCAGGAAAAAAAAAAAAGAAGATTGGCAACAATTGTTAGCTCAGGTGCCAATCTTTAAAAAAAAAAAAGGCAGGACAGAGGTTGGGTGCTCCACAGCTAAATCACATTCATTAGCACCCTCTCCATCTCCTGCAGAAATGCTGAAACAAAAAAATCTCTACTGTTTCTCAAGAAATATGGGACATTTCTGAACTTAGACTTGACAGCCAAGCACACAAGGAGCAAACTGAACCAAAAAAGTAAAAGGTTTAAAAAAAAAATCCAGCAGCAAATCTTTTATTTCCAGCTTCCGATAAACTCACTTCCTGTTATTCTGCCCAGCTGTGTAACTTACGTGTAGGATAAGAGGTACAGTCTCTGCGTTGATTGAGGAGGTACTTTGTGACATATATTTTCAATGAAGAAACTTTAAAATTCACCAATATAATATTTTTTAAAAGAGCAAAGAAAAAAAGATGCATAATTTTAAAAAGATAGTAACTTTTAGCAAATTTGAATTTAGTCTCCAATTGAATACATTAATTTTGTATTCCTAAATGAATTTATTCACGTAAACTCTTTAAAACAGAGCCTGGAACTTAAGAAACACTCAAATATTAAATGCTAATATTACTATTATTACATTTATTTCATCCTGGACAATTTTGACTTTTCAATGCAACTTTCTTTGTGAGTCTGAGTGGAGAGACGTCTTCCTTACGTATAAAATTTAAAGTGCTCTTGCATACATCATTCCAGATGTGCCCTGAGGCCCTGGTGTAGGAAGGAGACCACCCAATCTGGAGTGGGAAGATCTGGGCTCTAATTTCTGCTCTGTCCTGTGAGCATCGGCAAGTCAGAATCTCTTTGACCTTGCTTTTTGACCCTGTACAAGAGGATAATATATTGGAGTCTCTCAGCTTACAGAGTTTTGTGGGGATTATATGGGAAAAAAAAGATATATTCATTTTTAAAATCACAGCACTTTCCCTATTATCATTGTGGCTCCACAAATAATCAGCTGGGACAGCATAGATAAACTACTTATTCCAGTTAAAGAGAAAGAGAGGAATAAAAACCAAAGGACCAAGAAAGGTGAGTCAAAATTAAGCAGTTTTTTAAAAGTAAATCCTTTTCCTCAATTGTATGTAAAAGTAAGTCTTTTCCCTTATTCCTTTCAAGCTTCTGATATTTTTTGAAATTCTAAGTTCATTTTCACTTCCTTTCATTCACAGATTTCATTAGGGGTCACGGTCCGGTGACCTTCAGGGTCACAGCCTGGCCAGGGTACACCCTCCCCAAAGGCCGGCCTTATCTCTGTGAGCAGAGGCAGGAAACAGCAGTGCCTTCCTGCTGCAGCTTGTGTTCACTCTGAGGCCTGTCTTGACCCTTCCAGAGAGCTGCGCTACCCTCCTGCTCCACTCTTCCGAGCCTCTGCTTACGGAGCCTGAGCTTGACAGCTTTTCAAGCTGTTTTTAAACAGAAGAGACAGCCTTGAAGGTGTGATCACTTATTCCTTTCCCAGGCGTGGACCCCACGACGCTCAAACAAGGCTCCCTGAGTCAGCACGCAGACACTGCATTTTCATGATGAATATTAGGTGACTAAATAATTTACCCTGAAATTCACCAATAAATCTAAATTAACTAGTTTATATTATTTTCAAGTATCGTTTACGCCAATTTAAGAGCATTATGAATAAAAGGGAAAAGTTTGACACCAAAAATGACAGAGAGATTGCTTAGCTTGTGGGTTGGAATTAATTGTTCCGACTTGAAAAGTTATAAGATTAGGTGACTTTGATTTTAGGAAGTTTGCCTTGAATGGCTTGGCTCACACCAGTGATTAGTAATCAACCCTTAGAGTTAAATTTCTTGCTCCAGTGTTGTAGAAATTGTTGAGAAATCAATCTTCTACTACTATACACAAGATCGCATCATGTTTCCATCTTCTAACAACTCAAAATCCTTTAAGTGTATGTTAGTCCCTTGGTCCAGATTTATGACTTCCATTATGGATGTCAAAGCTTTGAAAGTGGCCGAGAAATGTATATAAATAATCTTAAGACTGAAGATCACATTCTGAGCAGATCTCCAAACTCCCAAGTGTCATCTTGTAAAGAATTAGAAAAGCTTTAAAGACCCTTGCATATTTTAAAACTGAAGAATACAAAACCATAAAGGAAGTTAATCAGACATTTTGACTTTAGTTTTGGGTCTAATTTCTGTTTCTTCCAGTCAGCAGGATCTGGTTAAATCGCTTCATCCCTCTTCCCCAAATATACACCATTACCATTTTACTGCACTCCAAGCGAGTGTGAGATCTCAGTCCTGATTAAGCAGCTCCTGGTTACGAACCTGTTATCATCTGCTGTGCATCGTAGGGTTCCATGTAACCATCATTCTCTCCTACTCTCTCTGCGTCCCTTTGGCCTTTTGTCCGTTTGGCATCATAAGGGTCCGCATAGTCTTCTAGAATGATGACCTGTAAAGGAACCAGAGAGGACAGTTGCTAAGGATTATCACATACCCAAATGGCAATGGCATCAAAATGGCTACCGTAAACCTGCAGATCTCAAAAGAGGTCAAGATCTCCAACCACTTCCAGAAGCTTTTGCACTTGATTGTGTTATTCACCCAGCTGGACAAATATCTGATTTTTTTGGTAGTATAACTGACTGGTAATAATTCGTCTAAACTCTTTTACTTATCCCCAAGGCTGTGTTCACCTCCCTTTCTCTCCTCAAGTAATAAAGCATTTGCTGGTTAAAAGGGTGGCAGAGGTGGACGGTGGGGAGTAGGGGATGTCTATGGCTTTAGAGCAGTAAAAAAATGAACTAATCTACCACCTTCCCCATGATTTTGGTCTTTTTAATGCCAACCAGCTGAGCAATATAGTCATGGTAAGTCAGTCACTCACCAGCGACTACTGAATGGCCCCCAGCACCAGCTAGGGAGGGAATGAAAATAAGACCGAGTCCTGCTTCTTGTCCTCAAGGAATCTGTAACAGCTCTAAAGAGACAAGCTTCATTATAAGAAGCCTAAGAAATAGGTCAGAACTGAATAGTATTGTGGGAGTTCTGGGCTCAATTATTCATAGGTAGACTGATTCTCACAGGCTACAATCAGATAGTTTCAACCAGCATTTGTGTCTGAAAGCATCTGCCCTCCCCAAACACAGGAAGGTGCCTGAAAAGGTGATGTGTGTGCAGCAGTCCTGTTCCGAAGGAGTTGGGTAACAAGTGGGAGGTAAGGGAACCCTCCTCGGGGAGGAAGGCCCCGGCTCTGCCCCACAATCGCTGATTACCTTCTCCAAAGAGTTCATGGAGAAGTACCACTGGAGCTGGCAGGAAGAATTCAGATAAACAGGGAGAAGCGAGGAAGAGGGGACAGCCTGGATGAGAGCCCTTCTCCTGGGAGGAGACGGCCTAAGAAACCTCAGACATCCAGAAGTGATGACCACGAACACAACCAGGCAACCCCTGCAGAAGGCTGTGATTACCACTCTCTCCTTCACCCCATTCTTCTTGACTGCTCGCCGAGCGCACTGCATTCCCCAGGTATCCTGAGGAACACGAAGCATGACACTCAGCCCTCGGCGGCAAGCTCCTTATAATCTAGTCAAAGTTAGGCAGACTGTTGACCAATAGCTGGAGGAGCTGGCTCCTCAACCATCTTTCCATGGCTCTCCCTCCAGTGCCTGGCACAGGGTAGGCATGCAGTAAATATTTGTGAAAAGGATGAATGGAGGAAGGAACAGAAGTGCTCGATGTAGACACACATGGAATGTTCTGCCGGCTCCTGACTCGATGCAGGTGGGCAGCATGTCTGAAGACCCGGCCAGAGAAAATTAAAGTTCCCAGGACAGGAAGTGATCGCCTGGGCTGGAGTCTGAAAGTTTGGTTTGAGCTCTTCTGTCTCCCCTTTTCACACAGAAGAGTGGATTTAAAAAACCAACCAACCAACCCCAGGTCATCTCTGTAAGAATGGAGTGGGTCTGTTCACAAGTTCACACTCCTTTTCTTAACCGTCTCACCTTGGCCAGCACCCAGAAAACCTGCGGTGAGTAAGGAGCAGGAAACACCTTCTTCTCTCCTGATCTGTAATTTCCTTAGGGCATTTCCTCGTCCTATTCTGTATCCTCCGCAGCCGGTACAGCCCTGTGCCCCTTATCCTATGTGGCTGCTGCACAAGTGTTCATGGAATGAATGAGGGGCCGTCATCTTTGGGTGCTGGTGAAGCTCTGAGAAGCCCTTCACTGGCGGAACTGCAAAGAACGATGGAGGGTCCCAACTAGCAGAGAAGGGAGGTGGGGAACCCATCCCCTGGAGCTCTGAAATCCATACTAGACAGTTTAGAGGTTGCCAGTCCTTATGCTGACGAAGGATAAAAGTGATACACAAGCCTAGCTTGGCAGTCCCCCCGGATGTCGAAATTAAAATAAAAATTGAACAAAGCACAAACGTCTCACTCAGTTACTCTTATAAACTGCTAACAAAATTAAATGGACAGTACATTTCTGCGAAGTTCTCCATCCTTAGAAGGAGGATTTTTCAAGATTAAAAAAAAAATCTTATGAGTTTAAATGGTCACTTAGGGGTCACCAAATGCTAGAGGGGGAAGCGCATCCGCACCTTCTCTGAGGCATACGGAACGCTGCGGCTTGCGCTCCCTCCCAGGGGAGAGGCGGTCCACGGGAGGCTGTGTTCTTACCGTGTCCTGCTGCTTAATAATCTTGCCCTTGTCCAGCTCGGGGCCCAGGGAGGAAGGGGAAGAGGATGCCGAGGAAGAGGTGCTGCTGCTGCTGCTGCTGCTGCTGCTGCCGCCGCCGCCGCCGGGGTAGCTGCCCTTGCCGTTCTTCTCCTGAGTGTCCACCTTGATGAGCCTGCTGATGTAGGTGCTGCAGCCCGAGCTCTTGGCCGCGCCCCGGTGGGGCTCGTCCTCGGTGGCCCGGGAGTTCTTGCGGCCCTTGCCCGCGGCGGCCTGAATCAGACCCTGCAGGCTGTCGCGGGACAGCCGGCTGTCCTTGGGGGGACCGGCGCCGGCCCTGCCGCTCCCCAGCTCGGCCGCCGAGTTCTTGCGGCCCTTGCCCGGGGTGGGCCCCGCGGCGCCCGCCTCCGAGTTCTTGCGCAGTTTGCCACCCGCCCCGCCGCCCGGCTTGGCCCGCTCGGACACGGTCTTCAGGTTCAGGGGGAACTCCTTGAACCACTTGGCCGCCATGAGGGGGGCGCGGCCGGCGCGGCTCAGGAGCGTGGCGGCCGCGGAGCAGGTGAGCGAGGAGGCCCAGCCCAGACACGGAGAGGCGCCAGGGGCCGGGGGCCACTGCATTCCCCGGGGCTGGGGTGCTGGAGGCCGCGGCGAGGCCCCGCGACGGCTGCTCCGTTCGTCCCCGCCGGCCGTCGCCCACGCCCGGCAGGGTGGGGCCCCTACGGCCCGGGGCGGGGGGCCCGGGGCGCCGAGCGGGCGGGCGCGGGCCGCCGCTCCGGACACGGACGGCGACAGGCACAACGCACCGGGGCCCCGCCCGGGCTCGTCTTCAGCGCCTGCCGGGCCGGGGGCTCCGCGGCTCTCCGGAGGCGGCGGGCGCCGGGGGCTTCCCCTGCTTTTTCCTCCCGAAGTGGGAGAGGCCGGGCCCACGGAAGTCCCCGGACAGCCCTGCCCACACTCCCAGGGACGAGAGGGGACGGAGCGGAGGCGGCAGGGGTGTCCCCGGCGCCGCGACGGACGGCGGACCGACGGCGGGCCGCCCACCCCTCCGCGTGCCCCTCCCCTCCGCGGCTGGCGCCTCCCAGCGCCGCCACCTCCCGCCCAGATCCGGGGGCGCCGGGGTCAGCGCCTCTGCAGCAGCGGCTCCGGGGGTGCATGTTCGGGGAAGGTTGCAGCGGCTGCACGTGCTGACCGGGTGCGCCCGCGTGTTGAGAGCCTCCCACTTGTGCGCAAAACAGCTCCCCTTCTGCAAGCGGCCGCTTCTGCAGGGCGCTGCCTTCAAATGCGCCCAGAGCGCGCCACGTGCGCTGACCCGGGAAGGATGCCCGTCGGCTCCCCAAAGAGCCGGGCGCGCCCCGTTCACTCCACTCTCTCTGCAAACAGTATTTTGGGGGTGGTGTATGGTGGGGTGCCTACTAAGAGTGGGCGCAGAGGCAGCGTGTACCCGCTCCCGCACTCGTGCCGCCACTCTCCCCCAGCACCCCTCAGTGCCCGAAGCCCCGGCTCTTCCCGCCTGGCGCGGTCCGCGGCCGGCCGGGGATTGGCTGCGGAGGGGCGGCCCCGCCCCGCGCCCGATGCTCTCCGAGGAGGCGGGGCGCGCAGCGAGGAGGCGCGAAGGTTCCGCGGCGCGGCTGCGGGTGGACGCTCCTGGCTCGGAGAGGTACGGCGTGTTGGTTCCAGGCCGGGGGCTGCGGGGCTGGGGCTGGCTGGGACCGGGCTTTGTGAGGCGGTTGTGGAAACCACCTCCATTTCCACTCCGGAGTGGAGGGCGCGTTGTTACCGCCGCGGCGTCTGCAGAATTTTTGGAGGGGATGGTGCGTGGGAGTGGACAGCCCAGACGGGATGTGTGCGGACGGGGAGCGCTTTGTGCAGAACTGGGGGGCACTTTGCGTTAAAAGACGCCTCTGCCGTCCCCCTCCCTTTCGAAGCAATTTAAAAAACTTGTTGACTTAAAAAACTAAACGTGCTGCCGAGGCTCACGCAATACGTTCTCAGTCCTCACATGCAAGCCATGGGCACGGCATGATTCGGGCCACCCGTTGCCTTCATTTGTGTTGGTGGTTTGTGAGATGGAACGGCAAACGAAATGCTTGCTTACATCAGCCGTTCTTGAAAATGCATCTTGACTTTTTTAAGAGCAGCTTTGTTGAGATATAGGTTAGACACCATAAAATTCACCTGTTTTAAGTGTACATTCCAAAAGTTTTTGATATATTTATGGTATAGCTATCACCACAATCTAATTTTAGGACATTTCTTTCACCCCAAAAAGAAGCCTTATGCCCATTAGCAGTCACTTATTTCCCTATTCCCCTCCTCACCTCTAGGCCGCCATTAATCTACTTTCTGTCTCCACAGATTTGTGTAGTTTGGGCTTTTCACGTAAGTGGAATCATACAATATGTAGCCTTTTGTGGCTGGCTTCTTAGCATCGTGTTTTTGAGATTCATCCATGTTGTGGCGTTTATTAATACTTCATTCCTTTTATATTGCCGAGTAGTATTCTATTGTATGGATATACAACATTTTGTTTATCCATTCATCCATTGGTTGAGGGACAATTTGGGTTGTTTCCACTTTTTGGCTATTATGAACAATGCTATTATGAACATTTGTGAGCAAGTCTGTGTGTGGACATATGTTTTAACTTCTCGTAAGTGGATACCCAGGAGTGGTATTGCTGGGTCATGTGGAATTCTTTGCTTAACTTTTTGAGAAACTGCCAAACTGTTTTCCAGAGTGGCTGCACCATTTTGTGTTCCTACCAGCAATATGAGAGTTCCCATTTCTCTACATCCTCAACGCTTATTATTATTGTCTGTCTGTTCTAGCATAGCCGTCCTAGTGGGTGTGAGGTAGTATCCTTGTGGTTTTGATTCGCATTTCCCTGGTGGCTAAGGATGTTGAGCATCTTTTCATGTGCGTATGGGCCATTTGTATATCTTTGGAGAAATGTCTGTCAGATCATTTGCTCACTTTTTAGTTGATTGGCTTATCTTCTTGTTACTGAGTTCTAAGAGTTCTTTATATATTTTTTGTGTTTTTGAAAACACGAGATACTCCTCCAGACCAAGCAGTAGAGTGGATGCTCACAACTTTGGAGTCATATGGTCTGGATTCCAAAAACAGGCTTCTCTGTTGATGAGCATATATTAAGTGATTTGGACAAATTGCCAGGTTATTGTCGGAGCCTCTAGGACTTCATCTGTACCATGGGGTAATAAGCTCTCAGGAGTTTCCATGAGGATTAAATGAGACAATGTGTAATAGCTGTTTAGCATAGCACCTGGCAGGCCCTTAAGCTGTCTTTGAAAGATTTATGCTGGGCCTTTGCTTTGGAGGTGTTGATGCCTGCCCCGTGCCAGGAGCCCGTAGACTGTTCCAGGGGTAACGAGGAAATTGGGACCAACACCCATAGCCCTGATTCTGCCATAAATCTCTCTGGTTTTATTCATCCATGCCCAAGTCTTTTAATTGTCTTAAACATTTTTGGTTGTATTTAAATTTAGTTGCAACTAAAATAGTTGTTTTCTCTCACAGCTGGGAACAGTTTAGAGGAGGAAAGTTACCATTTTCTTTTAAAATTTGCTTTAATTTATGTTTCTCCTAAAGTAAAGCAAAAAAATTCCTTTAAAATGACTTCGACAGCTTTCTTAGCAGCTGTCGGAAAAGGCAAATCATCTGGTGTCCTTGAGCTTTGCCTTTCCCATCTGTAAAATGGAAAGGTAATACTCCACAGGGTCATAGGAAAGTGCCAGTGAAATCCATAGAATTAAACACAATGGCTCCCGTTTATTGAGCTCTTGCTCCCTAGTGCTTTAAGAGCAGTATCTCACTTCACCCTCGTGATCTATAGGTGTTTTAATTCCCGTTTGACAGCTACGACGACGTGCCCAAGGTCTCTGGGCTGGACTCCCAGCTGCATCTCTCTAACTCCAAAGACCCATTCTATCCACAGGCTGGCCCCTGTGCGGGAGTGGGGGTGGTTTTAGAGTGGCTTATGGTACCTGTATAAGTTTTCTGTTTGCTGCCATAGCAAATCTGACACAGGCCCCACTGGGCTAAAATCAAGGTGTCAGCAGGCCTGCGTTCCTTCTGGAGGCCCCAGAGGAGAACCTGTTTCCTTGCCTTTTCCAGCTTCTGGAGGCTGCCTGCAGTCCCTGGCTTGTGGCCCCCCTTCCTCCGTCTTCAAAGCCAGTGACAGTGGTGGAGTTGTTCTCATATTGCATTGCTTTAGTCTTGCTTCTGTTGTCACATCTCTTTATCCGACCCTCACTTCTGCATACCTCTTCCACTTTTAAGGGCTCCTGTAATCCATTAGGCCCACCTGGATAATCTGTTTGAAGGTCAGCTGATTGGCAGCCTTAATTCCATCTGCAACCTTAATTCCCCCTTGCCATGTAACCAGACATATTCATAGGTGTGATATTGTGATTTGTAATAAGAAATATGTATTAGGTCTTTGTCCCATTTGTGGCACAGAGTTGCTAAAACCCTTAGAACTTCCTAAGTGCTGAGAGCAATAAAGGTGTCTTTTGTTATGTAAATGAGCCCCTAGGTAACCTAAGGTTGGGGGCTGGCTGCAGGGGACCTAACCAGGTGATTATAGGGTGCCACGCCCCACCTATGGGCAGGGAAGAAGGGCTGGAGGTTGAGCCAATGGCCAATGATTTAATCAGTAGTGCTTGTGTAATGAGGCCTCCATAAAACCCCAAAAGGCTGGGGTTCAGAGAGGAGCTGAGTGGTGAACACACAGGGATTTGGGGAGAGGGGTGTGCCTGGAGGGGGCATGAAAGCTCTGTGTGTGTGTGTGAATTGCTAGAGGTCACACAAGGAGGCTGTGACTGTCAGGAGGCAGGGCAGGCCTTCCCCAGACTCTTGGCACCTTCTCCACATTCGACATCATCGCCACCCGGTGAAGTATGCCAGGCTGGCTGTCCTACACTAAGTGACGTCAGCAATTGTGCCTTTTTTCTTTGGAATATTAGCCCTGAGCTAACATCTGCTGCCAATCTTCCTCTTTTTGCTAAGGAAGACTGGCTCTGAGCTAACATCTGTGCCCATCTTCTTCTATATGTGGGACGCCTGCCACAGCATGGCTTGATAAGCGGTGGGTATGTCTGTATCCAGGCTCTGAACTGGCGAACCCCGGGCCACCGAAGTGGAACGTGTGAACTTAACCGCTGTGCCACCAGGCCAGCCCTGGAAGCTCTGTGCTCTTTGCCCTTACCTTGCCCTGTGCATCTCTTCCATCTGGCTGTTCCTGAGGTATATCCTTTTATAATAAACTGGTAATTTAGTGAGTAAAATTGTTGCCCTGAGATGGTGAGCTGCTCTAACAAATTGATTGAAGTCAAGGATGGGGTCCTGGGAACCTCCGGGTTATGGCTGGTCAGTCTGAAGCACAGGTGACAACTTGGGCTTGCATGTGATTGGCATCTGAAGTGGTAGGGGACAGTCCTGTGGGACTGAGCCCTTAGCCTATGGAAACTGATGCTATCTCTGGGGTAGAAAGTGTCCGAATTAAGTTGTGGGACACCCACCTGGTATCTGGAGCACTGCTTGGTGGTGTGGAAAAGCTGCCCCCTGCACTGGAATTGGTGACCACAATCTTTTTTTTTTTTTTTTTTTGCTGAGGATTCACCGTGCTAACATCTGTTGCCAGTCTTCCTCTATTTTATATGTGGGTCACCACCACAGTGGCTGACGAGTAATGTAGGTCCGTGCCTGGGATCGGAATCCGTGAACCCAGGCCACTGAAGCAGAGTTTGCCAAACTTAACCACTATGCCATGGGGCCAGCCCCCAGAATCTTTAATAGGTTCTGGGAAGTAGGACGTGGACCACTTTGGGGGGCCATTGTTTTGCCTGCCACAGTACCTCTTCGGTAGTTATGTGATGGGGAGTTATCCTGGCATTCCTCTAACTGTGCTGGTTGGTTTTGCAGGAGATCCTGCTGGAAGAAACTGCAGCATGTAAGTCGCATCCTTTTTCTGATAAACACGCCTTCTTCCACCAGGCAGCCCTCTTTCTCCTGTGCCTGCCTCCCCAGGCCCAGGGCTTAGCAGTTACCCCCAGCATGGAGGCTTAGGTGGGGAGCCGTCGCGGGGAGCCCTGCTTCTTATACCCTTTTGTTGGAGTTTGGCCTTAGCAGGTGCAAGACTGAGATATGTGTTTGACAGGTCCTGGAGCAGCAGTGACTTCCGACCCTCTGCTAAACTACTCAGGAAGGATGGAGTGTTGGAGGAGCAGAAATCTCCGAGTGAGTTGGCTTGAGGGGTTGGTTGGTGCTGGGACCTCGATCTGTAACCTGCATCCTGGTTAATCTCCTCAGTTTCTGTTTAGTTGTGAAACCTGGGATCCCCCTGGGTTCTGCTCTTGCTCCATGTGTCCCCCTGGCACTGCCACAGTGCAGGCCCTCAGTCCCTGATGCCTTAGCTGCTCCTAACTCCATGCTTCTCTTCAATTCTTTCCTTCTTCCATTTCACCCTCCACCATCTCCAAGGCGATCTTTCTAAAACCCAGCTATGTCGATGTCAGCTCGCTGGTTAAAACCCTTCACCCACTCCTCACAGCCAGTGGAGTTTCGTCATTTGGCCTTGCCTGCCTGTCTTGCCTCCTCTCTCACCACACACACACGTGCAGCCTGCAGTCTAGCCATTCCCAACTACATGCAATTTCCCCAACATGCCACGCCTTTTTATATCTCCATGCCTTTGTGTGTGCTGTTCCCTCCGCCTGGATTCCCTTCAGCCTCCCTCCTGCCCTACACGCCCTTCCTTCCCTCCTTCAGCTTAATGTTTACTCAGAAACCCAGCCCCTGTTGGTCCCGGAACTCTTCATACTGCCTCATTGACAGTGCTGGATTCCTGGTGTGCTGATGACTCTGTCCCCCTCAGAATGAGCTCCTGCCTTGGAGGCAGTGATAACCACAGCCAACGCGTAACACTGGACCACTGCCATAGCCTTAGGATTTGCTGAATGATCAAGCACTGTATAACCGTTCACTGTTCACGAGGGGAGCAGTGTTTGTAGGGGGGTGTGTGTGGGTATGTTTTAAAATTGAAGAAAATGTGTCACTTATCACATGTTCTAACTCCTCTGAATCTTCTAACTGTGTGCCTGCCTTTTTATGCTATTTTTCTTCTTAGGAGTCAAGAAAAGGGAGACAGAGGTGTATGTTGGCAATCTTCCGCTGGATATCTCTGAGGTATTCTTCACTCTCTGTGAACCGCTGCCATTTTTCTTTGGTCTCCCCCATATGACTTACTAATCTGTCAATAACTTAATTTTACCAGTTTTAAAGATATTTTAGAGCTATAAATGTGCAAGCAGTCACTAGTTGGTGACTAGGCTGACCAGCTTGTCAGAGTTTGCCTTGCACTTGCAGGGTTTTAGCACTGAAAGCTGTGCATCCTGCATGGTTGGTCCCCCACTTGTCCCGTGTGACCCTGGATGGGTGGTCCCCCTACTTACGGCTTTGGCTGGATGGAGGGGCTGCAGTGAGGCAGCTTCTTTTTAAGAATGGGCTGTATTAGGGTTCTCCTGTCGATCCTTTGATCATAGGGAGCAGTCAGGTTTCAGCCAAAAAACTGCACCCATTTCACTTTGAAATGAACCAGTTGAGTCAGTCGGCTGTGTACTTAGAGAGTAGAAGGTAAACCATAGTATTTTTGACCCCAGGAATCCTCCTGTCTGTCTGGGGAGGCCAGACCAACAAAGCTGAAATAATTATAGAACAACGTAAGTACTTAAAATTTGTAATAAGCGCATTTGAAGTACAGATGAAAGGAAAATGGAAGTGTAATCTGGATGGAAGCATCCTCTGACTTTTTTTTTTGAGCATCTACTGTATGCAAAATGATATGCTTGGAGCTCAGCATGCTTAAAGAGAAATAACCTAGTCCTCGCACTCAAGGAGCTCAGTCTTGGAAGAAAGATGAGAGAAACTAGCCAACTAACCCTTGGGGAGCCCCTGCTGCATGCCAAATGTCTTTCAAACATTTCCTGGTCTCTCTGCCCTTATGCCAATCAGTTAAACTCAATTTTCTCTGCTCAACCTGTACCTTATTCCTTTTACAACACTTACTATGTTTTAATGATCAAGCATGCTCCAGGAAATAGGGTAAATGCTTCATTAGTGTGGTTTTATTAAATTTTTATAATAACTCTGGGTGGTGGGTGGTGTCTCCACCCTGGAGATGAGGCAGCCGAGGCTCTAAGAGGTTGAGTCCCTCAGCTGAGTACACAGACCTAGTGAGCGCCAGCCGGGAGTTGAGTCCATGTCCAGTTGCCCCCAAGTAGCAAACCACATCATCAATAAGACATGTAAATAATGCCGTATCATAAAGATGGACCTATTATGTTCTTATCTGACAGAGGAGAAAATGGTATTGGAGCAGAGAGAATGAGGTACTTCATTTTGACCCAATAGATAAAATCATAATCAAAGGGGCGGGTTGGGGGACTCTTGGCGCCTGATAAAAGAGAGTATTAGGGCTGATTCCGCTTCCCGTTCGTGGCAGGCTGGTACAACCTGTGACTTGCCAGTGAAACGAGGACAGGCGCCACCGTGGGTGGTTCTTGCAGTGGTCTGGGGGAGGCAGGTACCGAGATGCTCTGCCACCTCTGTCTGGTAGACCCCATTTCAAAGCCCAGCACCCGGGGCTTGCTTGGCCGTGCCGTCCCACACAGTGGTCTTGGTGACCATTGGTCCTTGTACCCTTCACAGGAAAGCAGCAGCCTTCCCCTCAGTGCTTTCTGTCAACTTAACAAACTCAGACCATCCTCAGAGAAGAGACTTGAGCTAAAGGTGTAGGATTTTAAAAAGGATTTCTGATTACAACATTAATGTCCTGTCAAGAACTGTGAAGTGAGTGAGACTTCTCCCTACTTGCAAACCAACGAATCAGCCTGCAGCAGTTTCATGGTACTTGGTGGAAGATGAAAGTTTTGGATCAAAGATGAAGGATGGTTTATTACTCACAGCAATAACAGTAGCCAGCGTTATTATTTTTTAGTTTTCGTTGTACTAACATTTCTTTTTTAATTGAGATAAAATTCTGTATTTAAAAGTGTACAATTCAGTGGTTTTTAGTATATTCACAAGGTTGTGCAACTATCACCACTAATTCCAAAACATTTTTAACACCCCCAAAATAGACCTCATACCCGTTAGCAGTTTCTCCTCCTTCCCTCTTCCTCCCAGCCCTTAGCAACCACTAATCTACTTTCTATTTCTATGGATTTTCCTATTCTGGACATTGCATATAAATGAAATCATACAACATGTGACACTTGTGTTTTCTTTCACTTAGCATAATGTTTTCAGGGTTCATCCATGTTATAGCATATCTCAGTACTTCGTTCTTTTTTATGGCCGAGTAACATGTCGTTATATGGCTATACCAGAATTTGTTTATTCGTCATTTAATGGACATTTGGGTTGTTTCTGCTTTTTGGCTATTAGGAATGCTGTTGCCCTGAACGTTGGTGTACGTGTTTTTATGTAAACATATGTTCCAGTTGTCTAGGGTATATACCTAAGAATGGCATTATTGGGTCATATGATAACTCTTTGCCAAACTGTTTTCCAAAACAGTTGTACCATTTTACATTCACATAGCAATGTATGAGGATTCCAGTTTCTCCACTTCCTCTCCTAAACCTGTTATTGTGCATCTTTTTGATTATAGCCATCTAGTGGCTATGAAGTGGTATCTCATTGTGGTTTTGATTTGCATTTTCTTAATAACTAATAAGCATCTTTTGATGTGCTTATTGGCCATTTGTATGTCTTCTTTGGAGAAACATCTATTCAAATCCTTTGCCCATTTTTAAATTGCTTTGTCTTTTTATTATTGAGTTGTAAGAGTTCTTTATATAGTCTAGATACAAATCTCTTATGATTTGCAAATATTTTCTCCCATCATTTGTATTTTCACTTTCTTTATAGTATTCTTTCATATGTAAAAGTTTTTAATTTTAATGAATTCCAGTTTTCTATTTTCCTTTGGTTGCTTGTTCTTTAGGTGTCATATCTAAGAATCCATTGCCTAAACCAAGGTTGCAAAGATTTACAGTTATGTTTTCTTCTGAGAGTTTTATAGTTTTAACTCTTATATGTAGGTCTATGATCCTTCTTGAATTTGTTCTTGTGTATGGTGTGAGGTAGGGGTCAACCTCATTCTTTTGCATGTGGATATCCAGTTGTTCCAGCATCATTTGTTAAAAAGATTATTCTTTCCCCATTGAATTATGTTGGCATCCTTGTTGAAAATCATTTGGCTATAAATGTAGCAGTTTATTTCCGGCTCTCATTCTGTTCCATTGATGTGTGTGTCTATCCTTATACCAGTACCACATTTGCTTACTGTAGCTTTGTAGTGAGTTTTGAAATTGATCACTCACTTACTCTTGAACCCACTAATTTGCTTTCTACCCTCCCTGCTTTTCTGAAACTCTTCTTGCTGAGTATACAAGTAACCTACATGATGCCAAATGATAGATTAACTAATTATGATAGATTGGATAACTGGAAAACTGTCTCACAAGAAAAAACTTGGAAATAGGAGCTGAAATATAAGAAATACCACTTTTAAATACATAGCTGAGACCTAAGAAAGTAAGGAAAATTAAGAGGGCCCAAAATAAGTAGTAACTGAAAACCAGAAGAGCATGGCTGATGCCCTAGGGTGTCTGCCTGCCTCAAAAACCAAAGGGCTTAGACTGTCACAGCCATATGGGGACAGGAGCTGACTCTCTGGGCCTGTGTGACGAGGGGCGTGGTAACTGACACCACTGCAAAAGCAGATCCTTGAAGGGCTGGGCCTTCAGTGAAAGTGTGAACCACAAGAACTTTGCTCACCGTCCAGGGTGGAGTTGAGGAAGCTAATCTGTCTTGGCTGGATCTGGGGCTGGTAGGACTAGCAGTCTCCCCAAAAGCGTAACAATAGGCCTGATTTCACGTGAATTGGGTATAAACTCATATTACCTGCATGGTCTGTGTACCTTCAAGTTAAAAATTAACCTTTGATAAAGTTAAAAACGCAGTTCATGAAAAAACACTTAAACTGTGAGTAGAGGAAACTTGCTAAATCTGATAAAGCATATCTACAAAAAATGTACAGAAAACATTATCATTTTGGAAACGGAAGTATTGTAAAATCAAGAACAAGACATGAATACCTCTACACCTCTTCTGTTTAACATTTTATGAGAGGACTTACGCAGAACAAGTGAGAAAATAAAAAGAAAAGGTGTAAGAATGGAAAGGAAAATACCAAAACTGTCATTATTTGAAGAGGATTGTCTAAGTTGAAAGCTTAAGAGAATCTGGGACTTGTTAGAATTCTTGAGAATTAGTGGGGTGGCTGAGTATAAGATAAATATACAAAAGTCAATTGTATTTCTATATAAGGAACCAAAAATACAAGGAGCTAGAACTAAATCTAATAAAAGTTGTGCAAGACATATATACAGAAAATTGAGGCTTTATTGAAAGATATTAAGGAAGACCCAAATAGATGGATAAGAAGATTCAGTTTTATGATCCTTAAATTGATACGTAGATTGCCATTGTGATCAAAATACCCAAGGGTTTTCCAAAAAACTTGACAAGCTGATTCTAAAATTTACATGGGATAGAACAGCACCTTTCTGAAGAAGAGTGAGGGAGACAGAGAGGAAAGCAAACTCACTGGAGTAATGACGACCTTCATGTGGGTGCAGTGCTAGACGGCTGACACATGGAACGGAATGGAAAGCCCAGAAACAGACCGACACATATATGAACACTTGGTGGCTGTGTATAAAAACCAGGTGGCATTGCAGATCAGTTGGGAAAGAAGGGAGTATTCAATAAACTGGTTCTGAGGCATTTTGTACCCTTACAGATGAAGTGGAATTGGACCTTTACCTTATAACCTACACCAAACGGTTTCTAGTTGGATTAAGGACTTAACCATGGTACAGCAAATGTAATACTTGGTGACACAACTTTGATAGCTCTCCCTTTGAGATCAGGAACAAGATGTGGACACCAGCTATTGCTATTTCTGCCAACGTTATACTGGTGGTTTTGGTCAGTGCCGTTAGGCGAGGAAAAAGAAAGACATAAGAATTGGAAAAAAAAAAAAAGAAAGAAAAGTTTCACTAATGCAGGTGTACGATTGTCACAATAGAAAACCTGACTTCAGTTATCATCTGCAT